AATGAGAACTGTTGCTTTGTGCTTATTCCTTTCTTCAAAACGTTCCCGATGGTTGTTCCTTCGTAATTTTAAGGAAATCTTTTTCACTACTGCTGGTGAAGGTGGGTAAGAAATCCCTTCTGTTTTGGAGCGGCATGGAAAGGAGGAGGAGGAATCCGCTGGGCCGTGGGCCAGCAGAGTAGGTAATGCTCGCCCGGGGAGATGTGAGTCACATTTGTTTTTTCCACATATATTATTTTGTGACACACTAGTTAATAATTACAGTGCCTTACAATTTCTCCATTGCACTGGCCATATTTCAAGGGCTCAGTAGTCACACTGCTTATACTAGACCTATGCAGAATTAGAGAAGGATTGTCTGTACAATTGAAGAGGAGAAAAGGGGTAAGAGACACTTCCTGTGGCAACTCAATTCATACTAAAAACACCAGTACTGTCTGAAGTTTTGAGTTAAAGAGATTTCTAAAACCTAATTTTACCTTTCACTTTAATGTAAATACAGGGGTTCTTAGTGTGAATTGTAAATTTGTGTCTAATTTTGCAGTTGGATTGCTTTGGCTCTAATGCCATCTCCATTTTCTACCCGTGTGACCCTGAACAAGTAACGGCTAAGCTTCACTTTCACCATCTGTATAACAAGGGAAATAATTACACCCCTCCGACTACTGTGATGATAAGTCAGATAATGCACGGAAAACCTGTTGTAGAAACACCAGCAGATTTTAGAAAGTAACTAAGTGATGGATTTTAAAAACCCAGACCATTTTTTGGCTAAAGGCTGTGTAGTTTCTTCCTTTCTTTTTTCTCTTTCTTCTTTCTTTCCCTTTCTCCTGCTTCCTCCCTTCCTTCCTCCCTCCCTTCCTTCTTTCCTTTCTTCCTCCCTTCCTTCCTTCCTTTCTTCCTCCCTCCCTTTTTCTCTTGTATGTATGTTTTCCCTTCCTTCCTTCCTTCCTTCCTTCCTTCCTTCCTTCCTTCCTTCCTTCCTTCCTTCCTTCCTCTCTCTCTTCTTTGTTTTTCCTTCCCTCCCTCTCTCCCTCCCTCCCTTTCTTTTTTTTTTTTTCTTTTAGAGCATTTTTTAAAAGCTGTGTGGGGTAGGCATTGAGGCTAAGCCGCTTGAGCCACTTTTTGGAATGCCTGAATCTCACGTTGGAGTGTCAGTTCAGTTGGGCTACTTTGAGTTTTGGTCCAGGTTTCCGCTAATGTTTCTGGGAAGGCAACAGATGATGGCTTTATTATCTGAATCCTGCCACCCATAGAGGAGATTTGAATGGAGTTCTTGAATGGGTTTCAGAATGGCACAGCTCTCTGGCTGTTGGAAGATCATTCTCTGTCACTCTGTCAAATAATTTTTTTAAGAGGAAAAAAGGAAAAATCTTTTAAAAATGATGTAATTCAATAAATGCTGTTCTCAGCACCAAGTATTCAAGATACAAAGACAGAAGATCACCTTCAATAACCCCATACGTCCAAAGTCAGTAACAGAACAATGTGGGGCTAATGTTCCACTGAGAAAAATAAAACCAGAGACAATAGCAAGTTTTCTGATAACTCCCAAAAGAAGAATCCCGCTACTTAAAAAAATCGAGATTATGAATTAAAAATCATGTAGTTTTACATGGTCTCTACCTTCTTTAAATTGGATGTTCTCATGCTAAATAGTTATGATTTAAGAAATTAGATTGGGGCCCAACACGATAGCCTAGTGGCTAAATCCTTGCCTTGCAAATGCCAGAATCCCATATGAGCACTGGTTCATGTCTCAGCTTCCCTACTTCCAATCAAGCTCCCTGCATGTGACCTGGGAAAGCAGTAGAGGATGGCTCAAAACCTTGGGACCATGTACCAACATGGGAGACCTGGAAGAAGTTCCTGGCTCCTGGCTTCAGATGGCTCAGCTCCGGCCATTACAGCCACTTGTGAACTAGTGGACAGGAGACCTTTCTCTCCTCCTCTCTGTTAAATCTTCCTTTCCAATGAAAATTAGATTGACATGGATTTGAATTCTTAGTGATTAGTTTTAGCTTTTATTTCTGCCACATGGAAGACACTGCTTTGTTTTTCCTCGTCTTTTCCTGAGCTGTGCTTCTTTTTATTTTAATAGCTTGTATTTATCTGGTGGAAAAAAAAAAAACAAAAGATGAGCAGATCAGTTCATTTAATTCAAAAGTCTGAAATGCAGAACATATTTTAAGTTATTATTTAAAAATGCAGCACAAGGAAATTTAGTGATGCAGCTTTTGATCTTAATATAAAAATATTCTTTAGTCAGATAAAATCTCATTTTTAAAAGTAGAGATTGAAACAGTATCAGAAGAATATCTTAATCTCTTAAAATATGTGTTTTTAAAAGCTGTTTCTACATAAGAACCTTCATTCAAATGTTAAGCTGAAGATCATGGGATTTTATTTTTGTAAGATTTACATACATTTCATTTAATTATTTGTAAGTTCTTAATCTGTACTAAGTTGAGTTCTGAAATTTGGTCATGAGATTTACATACACCTTAATATATCCAATGTAAATAGGGCACCATGTAACATTTGCATTGTTTTAGTTGTAACTAGATGAAATCTTCCACATTAGTTTATAATTATATGAAGTCTTTATTAGTATTTTTTCACCATTAGAATGAAGGTGAAATGGTGAAAGAATAATGATACCTTTTTCTGTATGCCAGCCTTTCACAATATAAAAATTTGGGAGTGACCTTTTCACTGTCAGAAGTCAAAATTTAAATGTGTATTTGCCCATCTCCTTTAAGGAGATTCCAGCATTTGAAATTTCATGGTTACAGAATGTATCAATTGAAGGATGAAATCATTGTTAAATATTGTATTTCCTTTTAAGAAAATTTATTCTCCCTTGGGAGCTTGTACGCGGTACCTGTATACCTCTCCACCACTGACTGCCATTACCTTAGAGCAAGTTAAAGGGAATAATAAGAGCATTGCTAAGGGGGGAAAGTAGCAGCAATGGACACAGAGTAGGCCATATATGGGAGCCAGTGTTGTGACAGTGAGTTAGGCCACCAGCTGAAATACCAGCATCCCACATGGATATTGGTTGGAGTCCTGGCTCCCTCACTTATGATCTAGCTCCCTGCTGATGTGCCCAGGAAAGCAGCAGCAGATATCCCAGGCTTTAGGGCCTCTGTACTCCCATGGGAAATCCAGAAGTTCCTGTCTTCAGCCTTGGTCAATCCTGACTGTTGGTGGACATTTGAGAAGTGAACCAGCAGATAGAGGATTCTGCTGTCTCTCCCTTTCTGTGTAACTCTGCTTTGCAAATAAAACAAATAAATCTTTTTAAAAGAAGGAAAGGGGCCCGGTGTGATGGCGCAGTGGTTAAGGTCCTCGCCTTGCATGCCCCGGGATCCCATATGGGCACTGGTTCTAATCCCGGCGGCCCCGCTTTCCATCCAGCTCCCTGCCTGTGGCCCAGGAAAGCAGTCCAGGACAGCCCAAAGCTTTGGGACCCTGCACCAGCGTGGGAGACCTGGAAGAAGTTGCTGGCTCCTGGCTTGGGATCGGCATAGCATCAGCCATTGCGCTCACTTGAGGAGTGAATCATCGGACGGAAGATCTTCCTCTCTGTCTCTCCTTCTCTCTGTATATCCGCCTTTCCAATAAAAATAAAATAAATCTTAAAAAAAAAGGAAAGATAAATTTATTTTGGTCTAAAAAGTTTGATACACACACATAGTTCTTTATATTGTGTATTTTCCAAGAACGTTTTGAAGAGTTAATTTGTATGTACAGGTCAGGGGATTCTGACATTTGCTTGTTTGGGGTCATATTTTCTCTTATCCGTGGTGTGCATCCTGATAGCATTCTGTTGATGAACTAAATGCTCAAAAACTAACTTAGCTTTGGCGACAGAGTGACAGAAGGCTGGGTAGCTCGATTCTATCAGCAGAGCCTGACAAGATGGACAAATGATTGCTGCCAAGGCCATCCTTGGTTTACCTGTCTTCTTGTCCAAATTGCAATGCCACTGGGTGTTGCTTCCAAGGATAAGAGATGTTTTATTGTTTAGCAGCTCATTGTAATATTGGTATTTCAAGGAAACTTTTTTTTTTAATATTTTCCTCTTTTTTAAAGATTTATTTATTTTTATTGGAAAGTCAGGTTTACAGAGAGGAGGAGAGACAGAGAAGAAGATCTTCCCTCCACTGATTCATTCCCCAAGTGACTGCAACAGCTAGAGCTCAGCCGATCTGAAGCCAGGAGCCTCTTCCAGGTCTCCCACACGGGTGCAGGATCCCAAGGCTTTGGGCCATTCTCGACTACTTTCCCAGGCCACAAGCAGGGAGCTGGATGGGTAGCAGGGCCACTGGGATTAGAACTGGTGCCCATATGGGATCCCAGGCGTGCAAGGCGAGGACTTTAACCACTACACTGTCGCGCCAGGCCCAAGGAAACTTTTAATAACAGGTCAGGACCATCCTATACAGTTGTTCATCTTGTGGACTGCATATAAGCTACAAGGCACAATGGAGTTTCCATTATGCAGTGTACAAGCCCTGAAGGTACTTTGAATATATAATTATAGTATGAAAGAAAGAGGCCTTGGTTGTGTTGGCTGATGTGAGAAAGCAGATTGGGAAGAGCATAATGAGGAAGCAAAGCAGTGTTGAACAAGAAACAGAATTCACTGTAGCAGCAGCAGCATGTAATACTCTCCCAGTGCCTCACCTGAAGCTCGCTGGTCTCCCTGTGCTAATGCTATCTTTTGATCCCTGATGGATTCTAGAGTCCAAACAATGACAAACCCCTTAGCAATCTGTTTCACATCTATTGTCATTACAATAGAGTTACTTTGATTCAATGTTATAAGATTTAATTTATGTTTTGTGAACCTGTGGTATCTTTTATAGAGACATAATTTTCGCAAATTACCTTTGTCTTTTATGGTTTTCCATTGATTTTGTCTTTTTCTGTTTCACTTTTCTTTCTTTTCTTGTATCATTCCCCCTGAGAAAGGGGGAGACAGCTGAGGCACAAGGTTGAGGAAATCAGAAGATTTTATGTGAAGGAGAAAGCCCAGAGGGAAAAAGAAAAAGAAAGGGGAGACACGGAAGAGGGATAGTTAGAAAGGAATGAGACAGAGAAAAAAGCCAAAAGCAGAAGAGGAAAAAAAAAGCATGGAGGGAGAGAGAACTTAATTTGGGTCTTCAAATCATGTTCTAACCACTTTGTAACAATTGTTTTTGTTGTTTCCCATGGAACTCACTGTTGGATTTCACAAACCCATTCCTATGTAGGGACTTCCCTCCCTTTTTCTTACTAGCTTGGGTCTCACAAGCAGGAATGGATCTGGCTTCCTAGGATTCTAACGGATTTCATCTGCAATATGTCATAGGTGGAAAACAAAGAAGGGGCAGAGGGTAGGATGGAAACTGATGTTTCTTAAATGATTTTCCCTTCTTCTCATGGATATCTTTTGTCTCATTTCTTTCCATTTTGGAAAAAAATACTATAAGATTGTAGATAATTCTATCTTTTGAATCAGTGTAAATAAATCACAAAAGACCAAATGGCCTAGAAAAATAAAAAAATAAAATAAGTCAAGAAAGGAGAGATGGACTCAGATCTCAAGGGACAAGTTTAACCTACATCCTGCCTTTGAAGTGCATAGCCTAGTCATAAAAATGCTGCATTCGAAGCATCACTTTATCCAAACCTGAGGCAGAAAGGAGAAAGAGTAATTCTCACAAACGGCTCAGAGGTTTGAAAGAGGAGTCAAGAACATGGTCTCCACCTAGAATCATTCTGGAACTGGGTGAACTTCAATCAGATGTCCTTAATAGCATTAAGGGTTAATTTTATTGTTGGAGGAAGCAGTTATCATTCTGGCTTCTGTCTAGAATAGAAAGCAGAATTACAGTCTTATTTTTCACTCAGACTAAGTTTAATGGATTTGGTGATTAAAATTAGACTAACCTTTGTTTTTCTTGGAGGTCAAATACAGTAAGGGTGAGAGTGTGAAAAGGGAAAAGTGATTTACAGGAGAGTGAAAAGGGGGACAGAAATGGTAATCAGGGGAAAAATTGCAAAACTGTACAAGCCTAAGTAAGAAAACAAATGGGAAGACATGGAAGAAAAAAAGTGGAAAGATGTGAGAAAATACATGAAAGAAAGCAAAGGGGGAAAATAATTAATACTTTGTGGAAAACTGTGTGCCAATTTTGTGATATTACATGCTCACCGCGGAATTTCGCTGCTAACTCCTGATTTCCTTGGCTCCATTTTCAATTCACCTGCCAGAGACTGGCTAACAAGACTACAAACAGCAGCTGTAGGATCCCAACTGCCAGGCTGAGACAGCTCATTGCGTTTCCTCAACTCCCCACCCAGTCATACAGACACACATTTTATAGTTGAAAGCTAGGGAGATTAAATGACAAGTCCACAAGCAGGAAGTACAGGGAGAACTGAAACCTAGACTTTTGACTCAGTATTTAGGAGCTGATTTCTTCATCTTTTCCTTCCAGTGTTCCTCTGCTCCCGATCCTGAGCTTGTTTCATGCATCCTTCTTCACACGTGCTGTCTGCTGAACTGCCACTTCCTCCTGTCCCCATAGGTAGTCAGTTACTCTTGTTGACTAGGTTATCATGTCCTTGTTTTTTCTGACTTGGTTCTGCTTCTGACCTGGTTCTAGACTCTGGTACCCTTCACCTGCACCTGTGGTTGGTCTTCCTATCTCTACCCCTCTTCCAGACGTCCCTAATTTGATCATTTCTTTGTTTTTAAGATATTCTTGTTTAGCTACCTGATAGTTATATCCAAACTTTATAGAATGATCCCTCATTTCCATAATCTGGCTCTTGCCTTGCTTTTTAGCTGTATCTTTTCCTACTCTAACTGAACATTCCTATCTCTCATTTTGCTCTGTGCCCTTTCCTAACTCAAAACTTTTTCCTTCATAGAATTTATCATGATTTGCTTTCCTGAGCTAAAATGGATTTTTTTATTAAGGTAGACATAATGTCCTGATTAATGATATTTGCACACACATCTTAAAGGCAAGTACCATGTCCTATTAGTTTCTTTGTCCTTCTTCCAGAGCCTTCCACAGTGCCTCCTTTGTAATAGACATCACATGCTTGGTTCATTGAATAAAATGAATTTGTGCCAGAAGACAGGTGAAAGAATTAATCACATAAAGGATAAAGAAAACAACATCAAAACCCTACATTAATTTCAAATTGCCATAAATAAATAGAGTGCCTCTGAATGTGACAATTATATGAAACATTATTATAAGGCTGTCACTAGAATTTATCCTTCCTTTAGCAAATGAAAGGAAAAAAATTGCCTGTACTAGATATTTCTGAAATGTCTCCAAATTTAATTTGATTTCTTTATGAGATAGAAATTGTCAATCAAGTATCCATAAAGGTTGCAAAGGAGATTTTGTATTTTTTTTTATAATTTCTGTATAATATTCTTAAGTTAAATACTATAGATTGGAATATATGCCAAATCATATTACAGTGCAGTTTGTTTGGTACATTAGACCATTGAATCTTGAGAAAAGACTCAAAGACAAATCCATTTGCATAGAAACCCATACTATAATCATTTTTGATAGATGTGACTCTTACAAACTGATTTAAAAATGTATACATATTCTGGCTTGCTGAAAAATTATTTGTTTCCTCCACTTAGGCCAATTAAATGTTCTGTTTCCTTCAACATTTTGAGCACTGTGACCAAAGTCTGTTCTATCTCCCAGATTGGAAGTATCAGAAATGGATCAGCAGCTACCATAGAGAGAAATCTCTGTAGGTGCCAGTAAGACAACCTGCACCTCAAAATATGTTGTTAAAATTTTTAGACTTGGGAATGTATAATGAAAAAAAAATTTACAATTCTTCCCCTGACTCCATCCCAAATGAGCACCTTATTAAATACTATTACCTAACAGTGAAGCAGAGGCAGAGGCTAAAGAGACAGAAGCTAGATGATTTTAGATTTACTGAAAATTTAGTTATTATCCATGCCCCTTACAAGTTAGCAAGGAAAGGAGGCCCTAATTTTAGCTGTAATTTTGGATTCCACCCCAACAATTAGCCGTGGAGTGATTCATGCCTTAGGAGTTAGGCTTAAGGAACTAGAAAAACAAACTCTACCAGTTAAGGAGAGAGACAGAGGAAGAGAAATCTGGAGTATGGCCTTATCACTTAAAGGAGATCTGGGCTGGGCTTTGAAAAAGTTTCTCCAGTCCATAGCTGTCAGAATAGGGCAAAGTCTGGAAAGGGAATTCATTAAAAGTCTTGGATGCCTTTGCTCTTATCTATGCTACTATTCCAGGAATCAGACATGACTACTAGATACCAAGGATCACAACAAAACATGTAGTGGAATTTGTTCCATACCTGAAGTGGCTGAATCAGTTCTTACATTCCTGTGAAAATAAACAGTGCGTTTCAAAAATCTGCCTGTTTCCATAAGTGTTTAGAAAAGAATTACTACATATGAGATAACCAGTCATTCTCTAAATGCCTTGCGAAGAGTAATGAAACACATTTAACAAGCCTAGGCTGTTTTTGATTATGATATTAAAATAAAATGACCTAAACTTTTATAACGTTTATAGGCAGCTCTCTCTTAGGTGAGCTCTCTCTTAGGTGAGAGCTGCCTATCCAATCTGAAGAAGTCATACAAGTGAATTGTGTGTAATAACACACCATGCATTTTTGTTGTATCTCTCACTAGTTATTCAGTAAGGCTACTGGCATCCTCAACTCTTCCCTGCTCTCCTGCTGCCATAGAAGCTGAGGGAAGCTGACTGCTGCTACTCAGCGGCTCAAGTGAATAGGGTCAGTCGTGCTGCATGTATCAGGTCTCACAGAAACCCAGGAGTACATTCCGGAATTAATAGGTAAGGGAAAGTTCCAACCTCTGCTAGCTTCTTTCCTGCTATTTTCCGTAACTGTGCTGGGGATGACAACAGTTGGTAATTTTGTAGGTAAAAAATAACATTTATTTACATTTATTTATTTATACAATATTATATATCTTACACAAATAACTGTAAACAAACTATTTACATAAATAAATAAATTACAAGTGGTTTTTTGGATGAGAGACTGGCAGTGAGCTTTTCAGATTATTCTACCTTTGAATAAAGCAGATCACTTTTTATACCCCTGATTTTTAAAAATTAATAGCAATAATTGAAATACTTTTTAATCTTGTGGGCATGCTAAGACAAGGTAAGGTCAGTTATTCTTCTTGATCACATGTTCAATAAATATTTTGGAAGTACTGATGCTTGAGTGAAACTAAGAATGCAGTAAGAATATTGTCTTCTAGAAATATAGCTATTATCTTCCCAGATAAATGTACAAAGATTCTTATAATCTTTTACATTTCAATCAATTAATTGAATTCATTATCTTCATTCTATTTAAAAGGGAGAAAGACATTGAGACAGGAATTTTCAATCTGCTGGTTCTCCAATGCTTAAAATGGCCAGTGCTTGGCCAGGTACAAAGTAGGATATAGAAATCCATGCAGGTCTTTCACATGGGTATCAGGGAGCTACGGATGTGAGAGCCTTCGCTGCCTCCTAGGGTGTACATTAGCTGCATTGAAAATGGAGGAGTTGGGACTCATACCGGGTACTCTGATATGCGATTTATAAAAATAAATGAAAATTAACGCTTGTTGTTATACCCTTTAAAGGGTAGAATCATGGCAGTATTATTGTCAAGGAATGAGAGGAATATAAACATTTTATGAAGTAAATCATTCTTTTCTAAAAGACCTAAAGTGACAGCAGAGAAAAGCTTAAGTCTCCATTATCTTTCACAGATCTAGATTAATGTGGCTCAATTTACATTTTAAGGACCCATGAAGCTGAGGACAGAATATCCAACAAGGTCATTGTTCAACTTTCTTTTCAGTGTTCCAAAGTACACAGTTATAAAAGGTCATTGAAATTCATGGTGTCAGAGAAAAAGAACTATATATAGAACTTACTCATCAACTTCATAGTCCTGACTAAATCCTACGAACGTCCTGCAATATACTCTTGGTGAATTCCATTCAGCCCTTATACTACTACATTTTTCATTCATAATTAACATTCTCACATTAGACCCTAGCTAGTAATTCTGTTCCTGAAGCAAATAGGCAATAAAATGGAATCTGTGCCTCATTAAATTGATTGGGCTTAAGAGGATTACTTAGAACCAAATTTGTCTTTTAGTGTTTTGCGTCTATTTCTCCCCAGAAGAATCAGCAGATTAGTGGCCCAGCAAGCTGAAGCAGTGCCGGATCAGAGCCTTCAAGATTTTTGAGATTTGCTAAATTTTAAGATCTTTTAACCTTTACAATTTTTAAATTTGTACTGTTTGAAGGATTTTTTCCTCTCACCATTTCTAGTAGTGATTTTATTTTTAATATTTCATTAAGCAATGAAGAACCTGAGGACACACATTTGCCAAGTGGTTTAAGCTGTTATTTAAAACATCTGCATACCACATGGGAGTGGTTGATTTAATTCCTGGCTTTTTGACTCCTGCGTTAAACTGCCTACTGATGGAGACTCCAAGAGGCAGAGGTGATGGATCTAAGAACTGGGTTACTTGGGCCCAGTGCAGTAGTCTAGCGGCGAAAGTCCTCGCCTTGCACGCACGAGGATCCCATATAGACACTGGTTCTATCCCAGCAGCCCCTCTCCTCATCCAGCTCCCTACTTTTGGTCTGGGACCCTGCGCCCATATGGGAGAACCAGGAGAGGCTCCACCTCCTGAATTTGGATAGGCACAGCTCCAGTCATTGCAGCTGCTTGGGGAGTAAATCAGTGGAGGCAAGATCTTCCTCTCTGTCTCTCCTCCTTTCTATATATCTAATTTTCCAATAAAAATAAAATAAATCTTTAGGGGCCTGGTACAGTACCCTAGAAGCTAACGTCCTCACCTTGCACGTGCCAGGATCCTATATGGGCACCAGTTCTAATCCTAGCAGTTCTGTTTCCCATTCAGCTCCCTGCTTGTAGCCTGGGAAAGCAGCAGAGGCAAAGCCTTGGGACCCTGCACCTATGTGGGAGACCTGGAAGAGGCTCCTGGCTCCTGGCTTGGGATCGGCTGAGCTCTGGCTGTTGCGGTCACTTGGGGAATGAATCAGCGGAGGGAAGATCTTCCTCTCTGTCTCTCCTCCTCTCTGTATATCTGACTTTCCAATAATAAATAAATAAATCTTTAGTAAAAATAAGTAAATCTTATTTAAATTTATGCTGATCCAAAGCCAGGATCCAGGAACTTCTTCCGGGTATCCCACACGTGGGTGCAGGGTCCCAAGGCTTTGGCCCATCCTCGACTGCTTTCCCAGGCCACAAGCAGGGAGCTGGATGGGAAGTGGAGCAGCCGGGATTAGAACTGGCACCCATATGGGATCCCAGGCGTGCTCAAGGCAAGGACTTTAGCCGCTAGGCCATGGTGCCAGGTCCATATTCATACAATTTTTAAATTATGTACTATTTGCTTAATCCTGTAAATCTACAATGTAGCAAAATGGATTTATTAAATTTAAAATTTTAAAAGATCATTAGATTTTAATCCAATAGTTTAGAGCATTCATTACAAAAGGGCAAGGGACAAAGCTGAAATGATTTATAGTTTACTTTGTGAAATGTTGATTTGTTGTGTTTATGAAGTATTAGATAAATGGGGACAATGATTTTGAGACATAATCAAATACAAAAGAGTAACGCATCAGACCTGATCAATTATGATTTAGGACAAATTTTGATTGTTCTAAATAAGTCTGATTTAAAGCTTGGTCTAAAAGCCATACCCATTTTCTAGCCCCCTGCAACTTTTATTATTCCTCCCCTCTATTGTTGACCAATGGCTTTTACTTCTCACTCCCCTCCTTGCTCTTCCTTCCTTTCTTCCTTCTTTTAACAAAATCTTTGTCCTTCCTGATCTTTTAACGTATTGGACTCGACAGTTAGTATCACGGAAACAGGTCAGTGGTTCCCACTAAGAAATAACAGTTTCTGGGGAAAATATTTCAGTTACTCTGTGCCTTCCATGGGAAGTGGGAACTTTTCTGATGGCAGCAAGTTAAATTCCCTCATCAAACTATATATTTTTCTTTTCCCTTTTTGAGTTCCTAGTTATATAGGATGGATTTCTGGCAGAAGGTTTCCTTAAGTTGAGTTGATGGTTCATCCTGTGAGTTTTAGAGGGAATACCTTATTTTCTTTAATCATAAGACAAGCTTTCATAGGAGAAAAATTCTTGGTAAACCCTGCTTTGTACAGAGGACTGGCTTCTCGTAAGGCAGTGGACTTACACATGAGCATGTGTTAGAATCAGCTGGAGGTCTAGTAAACGCAGTGTGCTGCACACTGTCCTCAGAGCTTATCGTTCAGTAAGACAGGGTGGGGCCTGAGAATTCACGACTCTAACAGGTAAGTTCCCAGGTGCCACTACAGCTGGCGGGCTGGCAGCCACATGTTAAGTATAGGACCCCTAGGTAGCAAATGATAGATATATACATATTTGAAAGGCAGATTTTACAGAGAGGAGAGATAGAGATCTTCCATCTTTCTCTGTGTCTCTCTTTCTCTCTGTATATCTGCCTTTCCAATGGAAAAATATTTTTTAAAAAAACCTTAAAAATAAAAATAAAAAAAAAAAGATCCAGGGCTGAGCATGGACCTATTAGGGAAATTGTGGGCATCCCTCTGGTATCTCTGTTATGCTGCAGCTCCCACCAGTGAACATGGGAACAAGCGCTGGGCGTGGGCTCAGCTGGACAGGCAGTGTCACCCGCTGGCATGAGTGTGGGTTGTATAGTGGGTCGATTCAGCTGGGCTAGGCTCCAATATTTATTGATGTGTACAAGAACTGAATGGGATGCATGATGGACTGGACAAGTCTGCTGCACATACTGCTATGTGCAGGAACAGGGACTGGTGGGAATTATTGGGGTCACTCTGGCTAGGCTGCCGTTCCCACTGGTGTTCATGAGGCCTGAGTGTGGTAGGCAGGGTTAGGCTGGGCCACAACATCCACTGGCTTGCGTATGAGGGGGCACAGAACTGACCAGGTAACTGCAACCACCAGTGTATCTGCAGACTGACATGAGTCAAGTCTGGGGTTACCTCTGGTGAGGTTTCATTGGAGGTCCTTCGCTATTAACCGGACCACTGGACTCAGAACTCCAACCACAGGGAAAATCACAGGATCTGTGGTCTCACCATGGAGTGCATGTGTCAGAACTGGGTCTCCTTGGTTACTGAGGCCTGTGCAGTGGATGGCATACCCAGATGCACATAGGGGGGTATGAAAACCAGTTAATTGAGGCCTACTAGACATCTGTCTAGTACCATGGAGGGCAGAACAAATTAGACAGCTCTCTCTTTGGGCTCTCTGATATGGGATGTGGATGTCTCATGCAGCAGTTTAAGTGGCTGTACTGCAGAACTCTGCTCCTATTATAAATTTGTAACAAAAGAATTTCTTTATTAATAATAATGCTGGATCTCATTTGAATTAAATATTATTTCAAAGGCTAAAAGAAAACTAACATTATGAAGATTTTTCTGTGATCAAAAAATATAAAAATTTGGGGCCAATGCTGTACTCTAGTAGGTTAAACCCATAACTATGATGCTGGCATCCCACATGGGCCCCAGTTCAAGTCCTGGCTGCTTCATTTCCTATTGAGCTTCCTGCCAATGCACCTGGCAAAGCAGCAGCAGATGGCCCAAATCCTGGGGCTGCTGCACCCACATGGAAGAGTCAGAAGCTCCTGGATCCTGGTCCAACTGCCCGGCTCCAGCCACTGTGGCCATTTGGGGAGTGAGCCAGTGGATGGAAGATCTCTGTCTCTTTTCTCCCTGTAACTCTGTCTTTAAAACAAAAATAAATGAATCTTTAAGAATATATAAAAAATTATCAATTATGCTTACAATATCATTTTTCCTGTTCTATGTTTCTATAGTGATACAAAATTTCTTAATTTTATACTAAGCTTGCTGTATTTTTTCTGCTAAGTTTGTAAGACTTCAGTACCTATTGTCACAAGTAAGATTAATCTAGTGTTTTCTTCCTTTTTTGTCTTTGCCTGGGAAAAACATTAGGAACAAAAGATAGTATTTTTCCTGTATTTCCATATTTTGTTATTTTTTTCTATTGTGGTTAAGTATTGTAGCCCAGTCTGGCATGTATTTCCATGTTTTAAAGAAAACATTAAATAAAATAGAGACAATTATTATAGTATCTCAAAACTGCGAAAGTCAGAATCACTTTATTTTCTTTAACGAGAACTCTGACGAATTTTCTCAACTTCTCAGTTTCAATTTTGCCAGTTTTGTGTCTTTACATTTTTGTTAAAATTGTTTAAGATTTCCAAGATGTGAAAGCAGAGCTGTACAGAGAGAGAGGTAGAAGAAGAAAAAGAGCTTCTATCCCAAATCCCTGTGATGACAGTGGAAGAGTTCTTTCTTCTTCTACCCCTCTCTCTGTAAAAGAAAATATCTCCATAATCACGCTAGAAATAATTGCCTCAATTTCAAAATGTCAAAGATATGAATCTATGACATTTCCTAAGCACACAATAGCTATCCTCATGGGCACACAGCCCAGAATGCCGATTGAGTCGTGTGAGTTTAATGTGAGAATAAAATTTAGCTAAGGTAGAACCAAAAATTGGATAAGTGCAAGTTGACTTTTATAATATATCATCCTGGCACACCGCCATCTATGAGACGGGGCTAATGCCCCAGTTGCGGTGACTTTAAAGTATGCATCCATTTACATTACTTCACTCTTAGAATCCTCTTAGCACATTCCTGCCTCACATACCTGGAGCTGACAGACTTGAGAACCCGGTTTTTAAAATCAGCTATCTTCTCCGAAGAGGTTTTATGATACACTTCTTTGGATGTGTTTGCTTCACTTTCTAGAGGAGTCAAAGTAGTTTGGAAACACCTTTCGCCTTGGAAAGTCAGTGTTATGTTTGAGATGGTGACACGTTTTGGGGATACTCTGCACTCATTTTTACTTTTTGTATCACGCAGACACCCAGGCTTCAGAACATTTTCTGTTTTATCCTTTGGAAACAGCAAAGAGCAGAGAGTCAGGTGCGAGAAGAGCATCACACAGAAATAGATTACGTATGGAGCAGCATCTAACCCATATTTTTTGAGTGCCTACCAATGCACAAGTACAACAAAGAGGGAGCAAGTCTTAGTGTTGGCTACATGGCCACTGGGTACAGTTCAGAGTCACTCGAGGCAGATGGTCTGCCGCCTCACACACTGCTTTCCAAAGCCCACGTTGTCATGTACACCCAGTGCCATTTCACACAAGGCAATTAGCACTTGGAATGTTTCCTTAGAGTGGGTCCTCTCTCCCAGTAGTTGGAGAAGTGAATACTCTAATCCTTCAACAACAATCCCAAGTATGTCATGTCTGTTATTTAAGTGTATCACAACATTGTAGATATAGGCAATGGTAAAAAGCAACTTATTGTCAAGATACATTTAACAGTTTCATGGGGAATTCATCTTTTATTTGGGAGTAGAAATACATACTCCAATGTTTCTTCACTTCTTGGTATGCTGGTCTGCCTTATACAATTCCTTTAGATGAATATAGGTATATACATGTTTAGTTATATATCTAGGTCTCCAATGTGGGTGGCAAAAACTCAAGTGATTGAGTCATCATCTATTGCCTCCCAGGCACATTAGCGGAAAGCTGGATCAAAAGCCAAATAACTAGGATACAAACCAGTACTCTGACATGGGGTGTGGGCATTCCAAGCAGCCATTTAACCTGATAGAGCACAGGGCTTGCTGTACCAAGCAGGGTCTCTTGAGTCCAACTCTGAAGTTCTCTGTCATGCCCTTTCTGATACTCCAGCAGTGCTCTCTGATACTGGGTAAGTCCAGTGATGAGATTGGTCACTACATATCTCAGGAGTCATCTTCTAACTCCTTTATACCATGCTTTAGAGATTGGACCTCAGTGTTTAAATTATTCAGGAGCTGGGGTTTGGCCTGTGCCCCGTGCCAGAATATCTGGATTATCTGCCTCTGGCTCCTACTCCAGCTTCCTGCCAGTGTGAGGGCTCATTTGATTGGGTTCCTGCTAACCATAGGGGGATGAGATTTACATTCTGAGCTTCTGGCTTTGAGCTTGCTCAGCCCTTGCCAGTGTGGCAGTTTGGGGAGTGAACTAGCAGGTGGGAGTAGACTTTCTCACTTTCACTCTGCCTTTTAAATAAAACTTTAAAAATTTATTAGATTATTCTGAGTATATTTTGTAATATTTGGACAACCAGTGTCAACCCACCACAAAGCATCCCTTGGTTATTGCTCTAGTTCTTGATCATCAAAGATGGAAAGTCTTCTGGATCACTTACCTTTTCCTCTTGCTTGGCCTTGATGATGTCATCATTTTCAAATACCACCATGACCCCTGAGCAGCTTGTGACCTCAGTGTGGTCTGTGAGCTCCGTGACCTCCGTTACAATTCTTATCTCAGGGACATCGGGGGTCTCATTTTCTGGAACATCGGTGACATCGGTGATATCAGTGACAACGGTGAGTTCGGAGAAATCTATGCTCTCCACAACGTGCACGACATCTGCATACGGGTACACACGTTGGCTCGCCACAGCGGAGAATGCCGCAATGTCCATGATGTCCACGGAGTCTGTGACTCCTGTGCTGGTGGTGATTTCTGAGACACTCGAGACCTCTGACACCTTGCAAGCCTTGGCTTTCTCCTGATTCAAGAGGGAGATGAGGTCTGTCCACTGAGAAAATAAGGCGTCCTGCTTGTCCGCAGGGGCACAGAGCTGCAGGTAGTAGGCTCGGCCACTCACCAGCTTGACTTTGAGGCGCATATTCTCAGCGTCATGCACAGAAAGAGTCACAAACTGCAGAGGGATAAACCTGCAAAAAATGCAAAGGTAGGAACGTTTAAGGGCCTCGCCTTGAACGCGCCGGGATCCCATATGGGTGCCGGTTCTAATTCTGGCAGCCCCACTTCCCCTCCAGCTCCCTGCCTGTGGCCTGGGAAAGCAGTCGAGGACGGCCCAAGACTTTGGGACCCTACACCTGTGTGGGAGACCCAGAGGAGACTCCTGGCTCCAGATTGATGCAGCTCCAGCCATTGTGGCCACTTGGGAAGTGACTAATCGGGTGGAAGATCTTCCTCTCTGTCTTTCCTCTCTGTGTATCTGCCTTTCCAATAAAAAATAAAAATAAATTTTTAAATAAATGCAAAGGTAGCACCACCAGGAGAACTATTTGGAGGCCAGTAAAAGGGCCTTTGTATTGAATTTTGTACTAACAAAGTGAGACTCGGGGCAACAGTTGTCTTCTAGGTTGGTCTAGGTAGGGGCATTTGAGAGCTGTTTGACCTTTATCATATATTTAAAGGCTGGTGTATTGAAACATCAGAATGTCAACGTTTTAAAAATATCTATCTTTCTATTTATCTATCCATCCATCCAGGCTGGGGGAAGAGAGAGAGAGAGAGAGAGAGAGAGAGAGAGAGAGAGAGCACAGAGAGAGGGAGCACTTTTATCTGCTTGTTCACTCTCTCACTGGCTGCCCGGGCTGGGGCAGATCAGGTTGAAGCCGGGAGCCAGGAGTCTCCCTCAGAGTGGCAGCAGCCAAGTACTTGGGCCATCTTCCATTGCTTTCACAGGCTCATTAGTAAGAGATTGGAAGCAGAGCAACTGGGATTCACTATGCCACAACCCTGGTGCCCCACGTAGTGGCTTTTTTTTTTTTAAAGATTTATTTTTAAAATTTTTATTGGAAAGGCAGCTGTACAGAGAGGAGGAGAGACAGAGAGGGAACTCCTCTTTCTGTTGATTCATTCTCCAAGTGGCCACAACAGCTGGAGCTGAGCCAATTTGAAGCCAGGAGTCCGGAGTCCGGAGTCTGGTCTCCCACACTGGTGCAGGGTCCCAAGGCTTTGGGCTGTCCTCGACTGCTTTCCCAGGCCACATGCAGGGAACTGGAAGGGAAGCAGGGCCCCAGGATTAGAACCGGTGCCCATATGGTCTCCTGGTGTGTGCTAGAGGAGGACCTTAGCTGCTAGGCTACAATGCCGGGTCCCCACATAGTGTCTTAAACCACAGTGCTAAATGCCTGTGATCTTGAGTGGCAGGGCTCTAGTCTTGCTGTACCCCACCATACCATCCCTACTGCGAAATGTTATCCACCCATGCACTTTCTTTTCTTTTTCAGTTTTCTAATGCTGTACTTTTATTTCACTTCATAATCACAGATTTAAGACCCCATTGGGTTAGGAGCTCAACAAATAGTAAGTAGAAAAAAAATGCCCTACTGTTCTTCAAGAGTGTAGACAAAGGTTGTAAACAATAATTAAATATTAAAATGTCAATCTTGCTCATATGGATTATGTATATATATATTTGTATTCTGTGTGCTAGTTACCACAGATCAGGGAGAACCTATGATATTTATATTTTTGGGACTGGCTTATTTTGCTAAGAACACTTGTTTCCAATTGCAGACATTTTGTTGCAGATGACAGTATTTCATTCTTTTCTAATGGCTGAGTAGTATTCATGGTGGATATATACCACATTTTCTTTATCCAGTCATCCATCAGTGGGCGTCAGGGTTGATTTCATGTCTTAGCTATTGTAAGCTGAATTGTAATAAAGGTGGGTGTACAAATAACTGTCACACACTTATTTCATTTAGTTTAGGTAAATTCCCAGGGATGCAATGGCTGAATCATACTGTAGGTCTATTTTCAGGTTTCTCTTTGTAACACACCTGGTAAGCACCAGTTTCTCTGTCGAAGGACATGTCAGGAGGCTTTCAAACAGGGATTCTGAGCCATCTGTATCTTTTTGGGCAGCAGGTGTCAGATGTGCCAGCAGCATCACATTGGGGGTCTTCTTGGTGGAACCGGAAGAACAGATGCCCACGGTCACCCAGTTGGCTCGGTTATGAAGGTAAATGGATTCACCTCTCCTGCTGACCTGAGGGTAGAGAACAGTGCCTGTTAGATTTTTATCAGTGTCTACGCATCAGTTTGGCTTACCTGAGCAGTGTGACAAAGGACAGGAAATAAAGGAAAAATGAATCATAATGGATTTGTTTCATATTCTTACAGATTTCTGCAATAATATAGTATAAACAGTTCCTGACCTGTTGGAGCCTTCCATATATGGCAAACATGATTTAACTAACAGTTATTGTATGAAGTGTTCCCAAGTACAAAATCAGGATGCTATGGGAGTGTGTAAAAGGGGAAGGATTTAACTTACAGTGGGGATGTAAGAGATAAAAATACCGGTAAAAATCTAATTCATAGCTCTCGGAAGCTACACGCATTTATACACAAGGTGTTTTTAACAAGATACAGATGGGGCCAGCACTGTGGTGCAGTGGATTAAGCTGCCGCCTCATCAACTACAGGGTTGGCATTCCCATATAAGGACCACGTGGAGTCTGAGCTGCTCCACTTTGACACAGCCCCCTGCTAATTTCCTGGAAAAGCAGCAGAAGATCACTCAAACAGTTGGGCCTCTGATGCCCAACAGAGAGGGAGAAGCAGAAGGAGCGGGATCTTCTGCTGATTCACTCCCCAAATGGCCACAGCCAGATTAGATCAGGCCAAAGCCAGGAAGTAGGAGCTTCTTCTGGGTTTCCAATATGACTAAAGGGATCCAAGTACTTGAACTATCCTCCACTGCTTCCCAGTGGGTGAGAAGTGGAGCAACTGAAACTTGAATTGGCACCTATTTGAGATGCCTATGTGGTCATGAGCTGCTTAACCCACTGTGCCACAGCACTGGCCCTGATAGAAAGTTTAATTTTTAACATTGGCTATTTAAAGATTTACTTATTTTATTTTAAAGTCAGATATACAGAGAGAAAGAGAGACAGAGAGGAAGATCTTCTGCCCACTGATTCACTCCCCAAGTGGCTGCAACGGCTGGAGCTGAGCCGATCTGAAGCCAGGAGCCCAGAGCCTCTTCTAGGTCTCTCACGTGGGTGTAGGGTCCCAAGCTTTGGGCCGTCCTCTCCCAGCCACAAGCAGGGACTGGACAGGAAGTGGGGCTGCCAGGATTAGAATTGGCACCCATATGGGATCCCAGTGCATTCAAAGCAAGGACTTTAGCCACTAGGCTACCATGCTGGGCCCAACGCTGACTATTCAATAGCTCTGATCTATAAACTCCTTGAACACTTACCAATAGGCTGAGTTCATCAAACCCCTGGTTATGTGGTCTTAGAAGGCTCCCCTGAAGAAGACCTTTAGCTGACATATGAACAATGTTGGAGGTATACTGGTTGGGTAGACAGGAGAAGTTTCAGAGCTGGCACCATGGCTTGATGGGCTAAGCTTCTGCCTTCAGTGCTAATATCCCATATGAGTACTGGTTTGTTTCCTGGATGCTCCACTTCTGGTCAAGCTCCCTGTTTATTGTTTGGTAAAACAGTAAAGGATGACTCAAGTCCGTGGGCACCTGCACTCATGTGAGAGACCTGGCAGAAGCTACTGGCACCTGGCTTTGGATCAGCTCAGCTCTGGTCATTGAGGCCATTTGGGGAATGAATCAGCGGGTGGAAGTGTTCTCTCTTTCTCTTCATTTCTATTACTCTGCCTTTCAAATAAAAAGAAATTAAATCCTTAAAAAAAAAGATAGAAACATTTTTCAGGCGGTGGACCAGCATGTGTAAGATCCCTAATATCCAAGTATTTTAGGCAATCAAATATCTGTCAGCTGGAAGGAGAGACTAGAAAATGGGCATATGGGAATGAGAGCGAAGCCAGCAAAAGCTACATTTTGATTTCTTATCTATTAAAAAAATCACAAGCATAGATATTCAAAAAGAGGTTGTGATACACATTCTTAATTACTTACACCAAGCCTTCCTTCCTGTCACAGAGTCCCGTAGGGTGTAGAGTGACCCTGTTCAAGGGTTAAATTCTGATTAACCAAAAAGGAGATGATTCCAGTTCCTGCTTTCTTCCCCTCCAGTGACTGATTTCAGCAGGGCATGTGACCCACGCCTGACCAGTGAGCCCTAGGCAGAACCTCCTGGTGGCCCCGGCACAGGTTTCTCAGGAGGTCATCCTGGCCAACCTTAGAGAGGGACAGCAGGATGAGCTGTGTCTCACGTATGTGAGACAGCTGTCCTTGTCATGTGCGCATGTGATGCCTTGAAAGTGACAGAACAAAATGAGAGGACTTGGGTTCTTCCAGGAGACAGCTGGTTCTCTGGAGGCGCTTTCTATTTGAGGTAATTGTCTTTTGCATTTAAGCCAATTGAGTCAGGAATCTTGGTAGTTTGCAGCTGAAGATTACAAATGTACTAATTGGGATTGGTTATTTTTTCTTTATTTGGCAGGGATATAAGGAGGGACACACACACATACACACATACACACAGCTTCCCATCCAGTGATTCGCACCCCTCCTCCCCCCAAATGCCTGCAATATAGCCAGGAACTCATTCTGAGTCTCCCATGTGGGAGGCAGGGCCCCAATCCTTTGAGCTATCATCCACTGCCTCCAGGGTCTATGTTAGTAGGCAGTTGGAGTCAGGAGCCGGAGGTGGAATCCAAACAGATACTCTGGCATGCAAGATATGCATCCTGACTTCTTAGCTGCTAGGCTAAGCACCTGCCCTGGTTGTGCCTCTTGAAGGATAGGACTTTGAAAATTATGATAGGGGCTCTGTCTGGTGTGTAGACTGCTTGCTATCTATACCAGTGTAGGGTACATGCTATGTAGTTTCATTAGAGTAGACAAAACAAAATCTGAAAATAGCGTAAGAACAAGAGTTTTTTTTTTTTTTTTAAAAAAAAGTCCCAGAGAGAAGTTTGTAGCAGGTTAACTTCTTCATGTCATGACTTGTCACAAGTGTCCTGGGGCATCACTGTAGCTTGATCTCCTTCTGTAGGCTTCACCTGCTTCTGGTGGCATCCTGCAGGTGGAGAGGTCACAGCAGCGCTCAGGTATCCATGCAGAGAGCAGATGAGGGTGAAGTTTACCTTTCGAAGTGTCTGTTGTACTCACCCACCCCCCGTCCGTCACCTATCCAAGGGATCAGCAGTGTAGACTCCCGAACATGTTGGAGTTAGAGCGAATAGATTTGTTTGGTGCTGGACACTGTGATGCTCTTTCTGTCAACTTTAGAGGTGTGGCCCATCCCGTTAGTCTCATTTTCCCATTTCTTTGTCTAAATATTTAAATGTTGAATGTCTAGAGGAAACTAGGCACTGCTTTAAGATGCATTGCAGTGGCTTCACTCATCCCCAACCTCATCTGACATTCATCTTTAATCTTCAGAACTGAGAGAGAGGATCCATTACAGTCCCTAGCTCATCACAGATGTTATTCCTTAAAATGTTTTCAGGTCTAAGAAAGAAGTTGCATTAATGCTTTCCTGTGACAGGATATTTTCAAAAATTACTTAATGTAGTTTTGGGATCATTACAGTAGAACAATGATGATGGTAGAGTTAGAAAAGAATTCATAAAAGTTTGTTGCGAACTTTCACAATGAATGTCTCTTTAATGTTATGATTATTTCAGGCTGTTTAAAATTGCAAAAACTATTTAATGATATCACATGTTCTTGCATCACATTTCAAACGATTCTTGGATGGATGTTTAGCAGAGTGGTTACAGTACCTGAGACTCCTGGCATCTCATGTCAGAATAGCTGTGTTCCATAGCTGACTCTACTCCACACTCCAGCTTCTGCTAACCCAGACCTTGGCCAGCAACCGTGGTGGACTATGAGGTTCAGTCCCTGCCAACCACATGAGAGACCAGGATTGAGCTCCTAGTTGCTGGTTTTGGCCCTGGTCCAGTCCTGGCTATTGTCATTTTTAGAATGAATCAACCAGTAGGAACTCTGTCTATGTCTGTCTCTCTCTGATTCTCTACTTCTCAAGTAAATTAGTATATAAACAAACAAGCAAAAAAACCAGGTTGTTAATAAAAACCTCCACATTGCTTCCTCCCCAACCTTCTCCATGGTTTTTGAGAAAATTAGTTACTGAAGTTATTGAAACTTAATTCAATTCTTGAAGTGTTACTTACTTGAATAAAATTGCTCTCTAACATGGGAGGAGACACAAAAGGGGCATACTCTCCTTTGTCCAACATATTTTGAAGATTTCCTGGATCACAAAGGGCATCTTGCTCATTAACTGACTTTCTGTTGTTCTTCTTCATTGTGCTTACATTCAAATATCAAAAAATAAAGGGGATAGAAGCATAATTAATGGATACATAGAAAATTTACCTTATAATTGTTTCAATGATTCATTAATTCAGCAAATTTTATCAACATTGTAATATGTTTGGCCCAGTAGAGTCATCTAAATGGGATCTACAAGTTCTCCACTCATGTGTACTTCACACTCTTTGGGAACACTATAGTAAGCGGTCAATAGTAGCAGATTGGGGCCATAAGGAATAAAAGAGATGCATATGATAAAAGTAACTGGAGGAAAGCTGGCAGACACTCCCTGGGGAGGTCAGGGAAGGCTTCTCCAGATCTCATAACATATACTGCCCTGCCTCCAGCTTTGGCTTTTCTTTTAATCTCCCTAATCAATAGCACTAATACTATTTCTATTATGTAGGATTCTGAAATCCATTTTTACACTATGTTTTGCATATTTTTCCACATGTATGTGACAGTTCAATACAGAATTTTCATACTGTCAAAACGCCCGCCCTTGTGGGACTCCTGGGTTGAGTTTCTGATTCCTGCCTTTGCTCCCTCCCTACCCTATTCGTTATTATTATTACTATTATTATTTTATGATACAGTTCTATAGGCCCTGGGGTTTCTTCCCCCTTCAAACCTCCCCCCCCCACCGCCAAGTTCCCCTATATTATTACTATAGTATAGTTCTTCATAAACAGTCATATGTCCATCATTGGGTGCATGGACAATGGCAGAGAGTCAGGCATCCTATTGTCAAGATATAGTTAAGAGTTTCATTGGGAGTCCATTTTTGTAAGCAAAGTATTAAACATTGGAACATTGTTTATTAAAATATTATTAGACATTTTATAAACACTTTATAAGCATCAATTAAACACTTAATAAACATTGTTTATTAAAACATTTTATAGACCATGCCATGTAGTTCAGATTTGAGAGAAAATGATGCACCCGAACTTACACAGCTCCAAAGTTCCTAAACTAAGATTCAGACCCTCAGACACTGACTGGAGAAGTCCATGCTGTCGTCTGATGCTCAGCCCTGTGCCAAGTGCTTTAACATAGGGGTGTGAAAGATGCCAGTCCGGACAGAGGTCAGGAAAGGTCAACGTGATGAAGGGGGTGGGGAGAGAGAAGCAGGAGCAAAAGAATATAGAAAGTGCCCTTTCTCTTTGCTTTTCTTCTACTTCTTTCCCAAATTAGTCCTTAATGGATTAGGTGGCCCAGAAAGATGTAGCAAGCTGCACTGTGAGAAGTGGGGAGGCATACCTCAGAACCCGAAGAAGGAAGACTAGTTACAGTTTTTTGGGGGGTCGCATACCAGTCCACATGTTGCCTCTTGAAATCAAGAAAAGTTGGTCACTGCAAGCATCTGCTTTGGTAATGCTGACTGCCCAGAGAGGGAGAGGAAAAGCTTGGGAAGTAAAGAGAAGAGTGAGAGAGAAAGGAAGAGAGGAAAGCACACGTGAGAATGTGCCCACGGAGCTCCAGCTGCTCTCATCCACACATTCAGCATTAACTCTTACCTCAACTCAGGGCTGGGCCACAACCCGCTGTTGGAGACGAGGTTTTAAACTCACTTCAGTTTGGGCTTCCTCCTTTTCATGATGAAGTCTTCCATGAAAGAAGCAAAAAGAGTTCATACAGATTGAACAGGATTTAGCTCCCAAAATGCATGCCGTTGTTTAAACTCCAGACTCTTATGTTGATGGTTAATGTATTAGGGGTGAAGGTGGCGGCCCAGTGCGAGGTCTTTAGGCCACTGGGGATTTGTCTTTGCAAGACAGTTCATGCAAGAGAGTTGGTTATTTAAATTGGGGCTAGTTACTCTAGCTCTGCTTCCTTGCAGCCTAGGATCATCCTCCAAAAATAGTCTACTTGTAGAGGCTTCCACAAGTGAGCTGCCTGCTAGGAACCTCCAAAGTGTAAGAGAAAACAGATCTTTTCATTGCTGAGCTAACTCCTCTCAGGTATAAGAAAGGAATCTCAACTTTAATTCTTAACTCATATTTCAATTGTTATGTCCATGTGTGAAAAGAGTTGTTAAAAAAAAGTGGTGGGTGCAGTGTAGTCAGTGAGAGCTGCTCCTGTCCGTGTTGTTTATGTCCTCATTGTGATCTTAAGGCTCAGGCTGCCAAACTGTCATCCTGGAGTCCCGAGGCAGTGAGCATCTTTGATCATGTTGCAAAGGAAGTGTTACTGGCTGTACTACTATGTGTGTGTCTAATTACCACTTGAAATGTGCTCCTTATCATTGCCTGGAAAGCTTTGCCAGTGCCTTTTCATAAGACTAAGAAAGTTCCACACAAAATTTGCAGAATAGGTGTCAGAGATTTGGTAGAAGGTCCCGGAGAAAAGAGTATACTTATAAAGAAGGAAGAGAACAACAGACAGACAGACATTGGAGGTGAAATTCTAAGTCATAAGAAAGTACTCAGTTGTATAGTTAACAGTATCTTTTCCTTCTTAATGGTACATAACATAGTTGCAGATTTTAAAGTTGATAGATTGGAGATTTGAGGGAATACAGCAGTCCACTCTTGTTCATTTCAAAGCAAAAACGTCCACATCAGAAGGTTAATTGGTCAGAGGCATACAGTTTGGAGATTCATGCTCTGAGATGGTGTGGTCTGTTAGTTTGGGCAGCTGATAGGGCCAAAGGATTCTGAGGGATGGCCACAGGGCAAGCAAGCGGGTAGAGAGAAGCCAAGTGGAATTCACTTAAGTAGCAAAGTCTCTCATGAGAGCTCCCTTCCAAGGGCAAGGTCCCAGGAACCTAAGGAATGTCCACTTGCTTTACCTCCTACATACACTTAGATTAAGTCTCCATTCTTAATCCATCAACCATAAACATAAGATATTGAGGACCAAGCCTCCAGTACATGGACTTTGGGGCAAAATCTAACTCATTATCCAAACCCTAACAGGAGGCATATTTAGACTTCATAGATACTTGAGTTCCTTGCTTATCTGTGGATGCTCTGTGGCCACCAGGACTAGGGTATGCTCTCCCCTGCTCCCTTCCCCTAACGTGACCTTGGGAAACTCGGACAGAAGAGCGACTGAGGAAGGCACTGAGCAGGTGATATTCCCAGAGGAGCAGGTGTGGCTGTGCGCTGTGAGGAGAAAGGAATGAGAGCAAAGGGGCTAAGAGGGACTTACAGCCACAACTAGGTCTGCAGCAAAGGTGAGGTCAGCTAAGGAGCGGAGGATTCAGTAGGTTCTTCGACCATCTCTGCTGTGATGTTTGTTTCTAAATATTTGACTTGGAATTATTTTTGACACTTTTGGATTTTGTGTAGAACTTGTAAATATGTGCTGAATTCTGCCTAGTTTTGCTGTAACTGATTTGATGTGATCTGTGCACTGGGTACTGTTCTTCAACCTGGTTAACTAATTGAGATGGCACTGTTCTTGAGACAGGTGAATAGTTTTGAGAAAAGAATTTTGGATAAACACACACACACACACACACACACTGCCACCACCACTAGCTTATACTGTGCTATGGTTTGTATTAAACCATTAGGTTATCTACTAAATAACTATTACTAGGCTCATTTTCACTACTTGGACACAATATTAAAGTTTCTGTATATGTCTATGTTTCTTGGATCCCTACCACCTATTTTGGAGCCGTGGCTCCTATCTTTGGCCTAGCCCAGTCCTGGCCATTGTGGACATTTGGAAATTGAAATATTGGATAGAAGATCTCTGTTTCTGTCTCTCTGCCTTTCAAACAAATGAAAAAATATGTATGCATAAAAAAGTTTTGAAATTTATACCTTTTTAAAAAAAATGATTTATTTTATTTTTGTTGGAAAGTCAGATATACAGAGAGGAGAAACAGAGGGGAAGATCTTCTGCCCACTGATTCACTCCCCAAGTGGCTGCAATGGCCAGAGCAATGCCAATCTGAAGCCAGGAGCCAGGAGTCTCTTCCGTGTCTCCCACACAGGTGCAGGTCCCAAAGCTTTGGGCTGTCCTTGACTGCTTTCCCAGGCCACAGGCAGGGAGCTGGACAGACAGTGAGGCTGCCAGGATTAAAACCGGTGCCTATGTGGGATCCAGCATGTGCAGGGAGAGGACTTTAGCTACTAGGCTACTGTGTTGGGCCCATTCAAGTCTTTGTTTTTTTAAAAATATTTTTCTGTGAATTTTTTTGTTAAATTTTTATTTTGATTTTTTGAATTTTATGGTACAATTTTGTAGTGAATTTTTGAAGGTTGAGAACAGTACATAAAAGGAGGTTGCTTACGTTGTGATGCTGGCAGGCTGTAATTATTTTCCTAGGAATTCATACAGTAATTTGGAATTGTTTGATGGCTGTTGATGGGAAGAGGAGTGCGTGCATGTCTGAGGAGGCAGCACTGATGTGTTTGGCTGGCTTTCTGAATGTCTCATCCGAAGGAGTGTCTAAAGATGCCCCTAAAATGTACTGTATTTAAAATGGCTGCAGGTCTGGGTCTCCAACCAAGGGCCAGCTACTCTTATCCTGGTCTCTCACATGAGGAGCAAGGGCCCAGGTCCTCCGGCCGTTTCCCCTGCCCAACCAGATGCATTAACAGGAAGCAGGATCATGTATGATCTTCAATTTTTTTAATCTGTAATTACATGATAGTCATTACAATGTATCATTTAACTATTACTGTTGAAGCTATTTAGTGCTTTGAGATTATCTAGATAATTTTTTCTATGATTCTTAATATACTAACAAACATATATTTAGGAAAATTCAGAATTCTAGCTTGAACCTTTGAGAAGGCCTCTCCACATTCAGGATCTTCTCTGTTCAATTTAAGTAATTAAAAATCGCCATTTTGGGCCCAGCACAGTAGCCTAGTGTCTGAAGTCCTTGCCTTGTAAATGCCGGGATCCCACATGGACACCGGTTCTAATCCTGGTGGCCCCACTTCCCAACTAACTCCCTGCCTGTGGCCTGAGAAAGCAGTTGAGGATGGCTCAGGGCCTTGGACCCTGTACCTGTATGGGAGACATGGAAGAGACTCCTGGCTCCTGGCTCCAGATTGGCACAGCTTTGGCCACTGCAGCTGCTTGGGGAGTGAATCAACGGACAGAGGCACTTCCTCTCTGTCTCTCCTCCTCCCTGTATAGCTGCCTTTCCAATAAAAATGATATAAATCTTTAAAAACTGTCATCTTCCTACAATTTATTAAATTCTCACTTATTGAAGAAAATTGGGGCAACAGTTTGAAAAACCAGGATTTAAACATAATCCATAAAATATGTTTTTATTTCAAACTCAAACTGTCAATGAGCTTATGATTAAGAAAAAAAATTCAGATTATTAAATGTGTGAGCTTTCCTGGTATGTGGTTGAGGAATAAGAAATGAAACGAAAAGGAGAAGAGGAAGAGGGGAAGGCAATAGATATTCTGCCCTCAAATGTTCAAAAGTAATTGAATTGCCCATCTCCAGCTGCCTGAGTTCATGGCCAAGTTTCAGTAACTAGACAGCCACTTACTTAGAGGAGAGGCTGCAGTGGCTCTCTGGGAGTCTCCTGGGTGCCGGCTAGGATCACAGCCTCCACACAGCGCGTCTCCACATTTCTTCAGCGGGTTGTGTTTCTGTCTTCCGGGCAGGCAACTAACCGTGTGCTAGAAGAAGTCCAGGCCAGGCTGCTGTGGGCATTGTTGGATTGCTCCTGCATCACAATGCCGTGACATAGTCTGCAAATGTCAGTGTAGCAGTAGCTAACCATGAAAGGCATCATCCAGCACAAGTCAGAATTACTTTATATCATGTATTATTCAGCTGATAATACATTATTTAATCCCCCTGTATCCTAATTTTCACTGATTTAATGTGCTTAAGGTACTTTGAACCTCTGTGAAGAAAAAAAAAAAAACCAGTATTCTTTGAGGTAATTGCCTAGTCAGAGTTGAAGGGTGGATGTTTCGCTTTCCTATTTGTCTTTATCCCTCGAGCATCCAGTGGCTTCCGGACACTTTCTGTTGTAGGCACCCGATCTTTGTTGGATGAATGAGTGATTATGGGTAAGTGTGTGGCATTCTCTCCCTGGATATCTCCTCTCTCTTGACACTATTGGGGTCCTTGTCTTTGCCCTTCAGTACATTGCAGAGATGCTCTCCTTCATTTTTATGTTTATTCAAGAAATCGGATGCCCATCTGCTTGTCACTTACCATCAGTGAAATCCAGCTACTTCCTGGTCTGTTCCCAAGGATGGAAGGATATAGGGGATACTAGCTGCTCAGGCAGAGGGAGGGCATTGCCTTGGTGAATCCATTTCACTGAGGTCACCTGTATTCAAAATCCGAACACTTTAGTGGTTCAAAAAATGTTTCAGTTGCAGGCCAGTCATAAACTGTCTTCATTTTGAGGGGAGAGCATCCTGATTGCCTAAAGAACTGCATCTTCTAGGTGGGGCCAGGTATGGACGTCAGGGTCCCAACACACCTCCCCTACAGGGCATGTCAAGACATTTTCCTGGGAGCAGAGTTGAGGACTGGGTATATAGCTTGGTCATTTACTGATGTCCAACTCTGGTGACAGCTCAGTCCCTATAGCTGGAGCAGTGCAGGAGCCAGGGCAGCCTCTTCCTGTGCAGGCCTGAGTGCTTCTCCGGTTGTTCTTGCCTTAGATGCTCTGACTCTCATGCTCTGTCGGAGGACCTTCTTTTGGGTCAGCAAATTCTTCCTCCAGTCACACCGTGGTACACTGACTAGGTTTTTATTCTTCCATTTCTTCCTTCAGCATATTGATTGTGTGACCACCACTTGCCACATTCCTGTTCTTCCTGCCCAAGGACCAGGAAACATGTTTATATAAATCTAATATCATTTCTTCAATGTTGATATAGTGATTTAATTCTGAGGTATTTGAATTACTCCTTCAATATTATTATTCTTTTGAGGCAACCAATACTTAAAAAAAAAAGTGCAGTGATATCAAGAGGGAAATCAGAATTTGTCCTTGTCCCTCCTGAAGGGCATGTTCTAAGCTTGGGGTAGAAAGGATTCCTGCCACATTTTATCTCCAGCTCCTACAGGTGACTGCTATGCTGCCAGTGCCGCTGATCACTTCTGCCCTGCGAATGGGAACTATGCCTGGCTGGGCTTCCAAGAGCAACAGTGTCTGTCCTCAGAGGACAGACGGTCACGTTGGGGAGGAGCATGTGGGTTATATTCCAAAGTGATGTGGCAGTGACCTGGAGGGGTGCACAGAGGATGCGGGGACACAGAAGAGGTGCACTTTGTTCTATTTGGGGTTTAGGGAAGACTAAAGGGAGGTAAACCCCAAGTCAATTTATTTTTTAAAATTTCCTTTACTTGGAAGGAAAAATTACAAAGAAAAGGGAGAGACAGAAAGATTTTCCGTTTATTGAGTTTCTCCCCAGACAGCCATGATGGCCAGGGCTGGGCCAGGCCAAAGCCAGGAATCTCCTTCTGGGTCTCCCACATGGGTGGCAGGGACTGAAGCACCAGGACCATCTTCCACTGCTTTCCCAGGCACATTAGCAGGGAGTTACATAGGAAATGGTACCACTAGAACTTAAACCAGTGCTAATATGGGGTGCTGGCATAGCAGGCAGAAAAACCTATTATGCCACAACTCTGGCCTCTCAAGTCAAATCTTGAAAAGCCAGCTTGAGCTCACTGTTGAGCAGGCTTGTCAACTTGAGGTTATCAGACAGAGGTTTAGGTCTAGCATGGTGGCAGGGAGCTAGATTTTCATTCCTGGACACAAGCTGTTCTCAAAGCTATCCCAAAGGTATGGAAGGTCGATCGAGTGTGAGTCAAGTGTGCTGATCTCACCCTCAACTCCTCCCTCTGTGGTCTTCAGTGCACACCTGGATGCCACAGACTAGCCATAGGTATCATTTCAGTACTCCCAGCACATGCTATTCTGACGAGTGTGTCCAAGTGCAAAACCAGGATATACTTGAAATGGCAGGAGTCCCAGAACTAGCATGGCGCAGGAAATGGGAGGCTGAACAGAGATATTTCAGTCTCTTCCACCTTAGATACTGGGACTCCTTTGAGCACCAGAACTTGCTACACCACAGCCTGGCTGCCTGCTTTAAACTTTTAATTGGAGAAAATTAGCCTGTGGGCCCTCTTTGCATCTGTGTTGGCTCCTGCTCCACATGGAGCACACAACTGGCTTCTCAATTGTCTCATGTTTGTTTCCTGATTAGGTCTGATTAGTCTGAAGACTCCAGGTGGCTTTGAACATGCAAACTTATATGACAACCAGACCAATTTCTGCCATGGCAACTTGATGACCCGATCCATCTCTGTGGATCCCACACCTCCAGGGGCCCTTTACCCAAATGACGCCCTGTTTCAACAGAAGCAGCCAGAAGACATCATCTCCTCTACTCCTACAGAAGTAGGGTGTGGGATTTCAAGGGGGGGTCTGAGACTATCCAGACCTGCTGAGGTCACCTTCAGGTGGGCGGCACCAGCGTTGCCCACCCATTTTCTAACTAGTTAAGAGACCACCAATGGGGAACATCTTACCTGTAGGTTCCCCGCCCAACAAGGAGGGGTCAAGGAAGGCTTACAATCCCAAGACCCTTCCTCAAACCTTTGGTCTCTCTCTCCCTCCTCTTTCATGAGGCACCCCACCTCCTGGCTTTCTCTCCGAGGTGCTTTCTGCTTCCTTCCCTTTCCTGTTCACCTGGTCCCTTCACAAATAAACTTTTCTGTCTACAACAGAAAAAAAAAAAAAAGAAAAAAAAAAAAAGAAAAGTCAGCCTGAGAAGGCAGAGGCATAAAATGACTGGGTTTGAAGAAGTAACCGCAATGTACTGACATAGCATAAACTAGGAAAGGAGAAAAAAATGAAGTAGGATGAAAGACTAGTACATGGAGGGCTTGGAATGCCGTAACTGGGTATTAGGACCTCAACAACTGCAGTGGTTTTTTTCTAGTGAGGTTTTACATATGTGAGGCGGACTTACGTTCTGGGTTGATGATTCTGATAGCAGTGCAGGATAGATTTGGCAAGGGTAATTTGGGAAGCACAAAGACTTAAGGACTAGGAATGGAAAGGAAGGGGTTAATTGAGCAACAACTGGTGGAGTCAGTGTTTGGTGACTCACTGGACGTGGAAGTGAGAAGTAAGATGACTCAGGTTTCTGGTTTGGGAAGCAGTGAATGATGATGCCATTAACCAGGAAATAAAACGTAGGCAGAGGAACAGGTGTAGGAGGCAGAGAAAAGAGGTTGGTTTCTCTGCTGTAACTCTTGTTTAGCATGGCACTCTGCATTCAGTTGGCATTTAGTAAACAATTGACTGTTTTCTTTATTAAATAGGCAATGGGCCCATTGTGATAGCCCGATAGCCTAGTGGCTAAAGTCCTTGTCTTGCATGTGCCAGGATGTGTCCCAGCAGCTGTACTTCCTATCCAGCTCCCTGCTTGTGGCCTGCGGAAGCAGGGTAACCCTGTGCCCCGTGGGAGACTCAGAGAAGGTTCCTGGCTTCGGATCAGCTCAGCTCTGGCCACTGTGGCCATTTGGGGAGTGAACCAGTGGAGGGAAGATCTTTCTGTCTCTCTTTCTCTCTGTAAATCTGACTTTCCAATACAGATAAATCCTTCAAAAAAAAAAAAAACCACAAAACAAAAAAACCCAGCAGTGGTGTATCCATATTATTTGGCCTTATACCCCAAAGCCTGTGCATTGGTGAGTGTGGTCTGGCTCCATTCTGATTCTCTCCCAGCTGTATTTCAGATCACATTCCATGTTCTTCCCAACCCCCTGCCCCATCACAGTTACCTCCTTCCTGACATGGCCTCTGTTTAGTCCATTCTTCAGTCTGGAAGGCTCTTCAGGATCTTCACATGCAGGGCTTACTGTTATTTTTCAAAACCCAACTCAAAAGTCCCTGTTCAGAGCCCTTTCTTGATCTGCTCTGGATACACCACTGCAAAGGCAATACTGGGGAGCTGCAATTCCATTTCTTCCTGTAGCTGGCTTTCTTTTAGGTTTCAGTGTTATACTTGGCATTATACCAGAGCTTTGGCAGTGGCAGGATAGCAGCAAGGCTTGCTGTTTCTGTCATTGTCACACTGGCAATAGCAACTGGTTCTAGCTTGCATTTTCTGCAGGGAATGGCACCCATGGAATCAGCAGTGGGCATGGCCCTTAGCGGGTAGAGTCACAGTGCAAAGGGCCGATTGCCCTTCTCCATCCCTCCTAGCACTCCTATTGGCACTTTCTTGCGGTAGTCAAGATGTCTGATTTCCAGCCCTGCAACATCTATTTAACTTAAGCCTATCATAAATCCTTATTAAAATATTTTGTTTGATTTCTGCCAATCTTTAAACCGATGCAACCACTAAATCTGATTTAGGCCTCTATTCAACTCTTTGACATATTGGATTTTCTTCATATACTTCTAATTGAATTCAATTTTTTTTTCTCATAATGTATTTGTTCCACTTGGATTTCAAGAGCCTTTCATTTAGCCTTGGTGCCTAGCATGGAGCTTGGCATACTGTAGAAGCTTAAAAAGTGCTTTTTAAATAAACTGAATTTTTACAAATCTCTACAGGAGAAATAGAGCTAACTGCAAATGGGCAGAATTGAGCAAGGCTTTAACTTTTCAGTTCTAGCGCAAGTTAATAATCCTGTAACAATGTAGCCCTCATAAAGAAAAAAGCACAATAAAACTTACAAATATATCAGAATGCAACATATTAATTAATTAGGATCCATCATCATTGGAGCAATGATATACCATTTATTTGAATTTTGTACTTAGATGAAACAACATTTTCTGCAGCCTGAATGGTAATTATTTACCTTATTGATGTTTTATGAAGGCTGAGCTGGTAATGAGTTGATCTACAAAATTTTGTTGGTTAGTAAATAATTTTAAAAATGAAATCCATCCAAAGAATCCACTTGTGATAACATACATCACTTTATGAAATGTACTTGATAAACTTCATTTTCTATTTTCCATTGTGTGATACGGTTTGAAACATACAGCCCTCCAAAATCTGTTTTAAAAGGAACTGCACAGCTTCTGCACAGCTTTAAAGAAATTAAGAACACAGTAGAGCAAACTAAAAGTACAGTGGAGAGACTCAAAATAGAATGAAGCAAGCAGAAGAAAGAATCTCAGAATTGGAAGATATTTCCTGTCACCACGGGGAAGCAAACAAAAAGCTGGAAGCAGAGCTGGATCAAGTCAAAAAAGTATTCAAGAATTGAAAGACACTGTTAAGAGGCCTAATATTAAGAGTTATTGGAGTCCCAGAAGGTACACAAAGAGAAACTGGTTTTACTAATATACTTAATGAAATAATAAAGGAAATTTCCCTAATCTAGAGAAAGAATTGGGAAACAAGACCCAGGAGGAGCACAGAATTCCCAACAGGCCTGATCAAAAGCGATCTTCACCAAGACACGTGATCATCAAGCTTTCTTCCACTGAACATAAGGAAAAGATCTTGAAATGTGCACACAAAAAAAATCAATTGACATATAAAGGAATGCCAATTTAACTCATCGGAGATCTCTCACAGGAAACCCTATAGGCAAGAAGAGAATGGAGTGACATATTCCAAATTCTAAAAGAAAAAAATTGTCGGCCCAGGATAACATATCCAGTAAAGCTTTCTTTTGTCTTTGAAAATGAAATTAAATTTTTCCACAGTAAAGAAAAGTTAAAACAATTTGCCTCTTCCAAACCTGCCCTACAAATGACACTTCAAGATGTTCTCTTGACAGAGAAGAGGAATAGCACTCAACAAAACCAAAGGCAAATGGGAAGAACATCCTAGTAAAATGACAACAGAAGACTAAACCAATGCACAACCCATTCCTAAAAGGACAGGACCAAAGTACTACCCATACATATTAACCCTGAATGTAAATGGCTTAAGCTCAATCAAACATCACAGATTAGTAGGCTGGATTAAAAAACAAAACCCATCTAGCTTGTTGTCTAGAAGAGACATTTTATCAACAAAATCAGCGGAAACTATATCGCATGGTTTTGATGTTTTCTGTTAGTTTCATCTCTTCAAAACACTTTCTTCTGATTAAATTCTTCAATGACTCATAGAGTAGCATCATTTTCTTCAAGAAGGTTCTTGATTTTTCATTTCTTTAGCTAAACGTTAGTCATTTAGTAGCATGTTATTTAACTTCATGGTGTTGTTAATTTCTTTTTTCGTCCTGATGTTGATTTTGCTTTGTGGCTCTTCATTTAAGGGGATGTATAGTAGCTGTATAATGGAGACTGTCATGTCTAGTAACATGTTATTTAACTTCATGGCATCGTAAATTTCTATTTTTCTTTCTATTGTTGATTTTGTATGACTTTTCATTTGAGGGGATGTATAGTAGCTCTGGAGACTAACATATCCAGATGTGAGGATACAATATAGCATGCATTTCTACTTCCAAAGATGGACTTACAGTGAAACCGTTTACTATATCTTGACAATAGGATGCTGGACTCTCTGCCATTGTCCATGCCCACAATGATGGACATATGACTGTGTATGAAGAACTATACTTTAATAATGATATAGAGGAACTGGGGGGAGACTGGAGCTGGGATAAGGGAAATACCAGGAGCCCATGGAACTATATCATAAAATGATAATAATAATAATAATAATAATAAAATGTAAAAAAAATTTACTTATATGGCATCTAAAAATAAGAATCTTTAGAATAAAGAGTTCCATGTCAGAATTTAAAATATTTGTTTTTATTGGGAAGTCAGACATACAAAGAGGAGGTGAGGAGAGGCAGATAGGAAGATCTTCTGTCCGATGATTCATTCCCCATATGGGCACAACCGCCAGAGCTGAGCTGATCTGAAGCCAGGAGCTTCTTCCAGGTCTTCCATGTGGGCGCAGGGTCCAAAGGCTTTGGGCCGTCCTTGACTGCTTTCCCAGGCCTCAAGCAGAGAGCTGGATGGGAAGTGGGGCCACCGGGATTAGAACCAGTGCCCATATAAGATCCTGGCACGTGCAAGGTGAGAACTTTTAGCCACTAAGCTATCACAGCAGGCCTCAAGAATTGCTATTTTTTCTTTGTCATCAGTATCTTCTAAGTTTTCTTACTGCTATTCTGTGCCTATGACCAGAAAAAGCAGACTAGCTACAGGTTCTCTTGCTTTCTAGTCTGTATTTACAATACAGTGATAATGCTACAAATTAGTGCTATTTTCCCCAAACATTATAGTTTGGGACTGTATTGCATGGCACTACACTTATATTTTGTTTATACCAGTTACCTTTGGTAGGTCATCTTAGCTACCATTTTTATCTAGATTGACCCTCAGCATGGAATGACAATCTTTCTCTAAAGATTTATTTACTTATGATTTGAAACGCAGAATCTCAGAGAGAGAGAGAGAGAGGGAGAGATAGAGATCAAGATGAGGGGAAAAGAGAGATCTTCCATCTGCTGCTTCACTTCCCAAATGACTACCACGGCCAGGGCTGGTCAGGCTGAAGCCAGCAGCCTAGACACTGAGTGGGGTCTCACGTGGGGTGGGGAGCAAGTTCCCAGGCACATCAGCAGGAAGCTGGGTCGGAGCACAGGTGGCCCACCCAGAATCACAAGCAGCAGTTTAAGTTGGTAGAACATGACAGCTCCTGTCTTCTTCTCTCTCTCTCTCTTTTAATAACAAGGCCAACACAGTAAGATTTTTAATAATGATCAAGGATTTTTTTATTCATTAAGTTTCAGTATCATTACAGAAAATGTATGGTACAGAGTTGTTTCAACATTATTTTGTCTTTGCTCTTGATTTTCACATGAATGCTGGTAACACTAATATCTGTACAAGATCAGTCTTTGATTTTATTTTATTTATTTTTTTTTGTTCTGTACAATTTTAAATGTATTGATTAAAAAGGCTGTCAGCACTTAAGGAAGCATTTCCCCACCACCCCCCAAGTCTGATTGTTCAAATAAAAGGTATCAAGTTACTGCCCACGAGTATTGTGCCGTGAGGCTACTGGGTAGATAAACGTCCCCAGAGGTTGCGAAGGGGGTTGACCTTGAGGCAGGGCATGGCCTGCACCCGGCCCCTCTTCTTTTGGCACTGTGCACATAAACACGAGATACATGGTAAAGAACAAGCAGAAGCGCTCTGTAAAGCGGTTATGAAGCATACTAAGAAGGGAAATCCAAGTGTTGCCTACACTAGTATAAATAAGCAGACAGCCTTGATTTAAGAGCATAAGTAGTTGTTTTTTAAAGATGAGAAAAACACAAGTTCTGCAGGCACCTACTGCTGTCTACTAAAAGCTATCGCTATCAGATCTAGCATTGAACACACAAAGCAATTTGCAAGAAAGGAAAAAATTCGCTTTGATATAATCAGAATAGAGTTGTCTGTTAAGATTTATTTTTTAGGTGTTCTTTAAAAGATATTTAAATTCATTTGAAATATAGTTCAAGATGTTGACTATACAGATCAACTTTCATCCAAATCAGAAAAAAAACTAGCTGTGCCGTTGCATATTACAGGATACAGTCAATGATATGTGGACATGCATCGAAGCTTTCTCCTGCTGGCGAGCATCATAGCCGTCCAATGACCATGACGTCCACCACCTCGCCCTTGTGGAGCTCCACATACTGCTCTGTCTTTGGAGGTAGCATCAACAATCCATTGGCACTGCGCATGCTCATCAGACGGCTGCTCATCTGATTACCTAGAAAGAAATGCTCTTATTACAGCAGCAAATAAGCAGCACACTGCATAGGAAGGAGCCTTTGGGGACCTTTCCAGAATGAAAACTGGCAAGTAGAAATGCAGGTCTTCAAGAGAAAGAGAGACAATCATAGTTCCCATTACCTTTTGCAGGCAGTGGTACTTCTATATCCTACCCTCTTTCAGTACAACTTTTAAAAAGACAAACATTAGAGATTCTTCTTTAAAAGAATACAAACAGGATTTTAAAGCTTTATGCAAATTATGCACAAATTTTTTTCATTCAGGTCAAAGTGTTTTATGTGTAACCATAAAAGGAGGGTTTATGTATTTTATGTATAAATAATGACAATCATAAATGCTGCACAAGGTTCCAGGTACTTTACATAATTATCGTATTTAATTCTCAAGAGACCATAAAGAATGTTGGGCTATCTCCCCAGCACCCTAGCTAGTGGCCAATGTGAAGGCTGCTCTCTCACACTTGCTAGGACCTTTCCTAACAGAGTAATACAATTTTCCAGAGGTTGCAATAAAAGTTAGGCAAATATGATTAGACAAGTTGAGAATAAAAGCTTAAAGTCTAAAGGTAATAGTTATGGAACTCTGAATTATGAAGACTGAATTTTGTTTAAACTTTAGCAATATCCAGAGTATGGTAGAGGCTACAAATAGTTAATTATAAATTGAACTTTATTATTTTTTGAAATACTTTATTTATTTGAAAGGCAGTGTGACACACACATACATACACAGAGATCTTCCATGTGCTGATTCATAAGTGGCTTCAACAGATAGGCTGGGCCAAAGCCAGGAGCCAGAGATCTCATCCTGGTCTCTCACATGTTTTGGCAGGGATTCAGAAAATGGGGCCTTTTTTTTTTTTTTTTGCTGTTTTCCCAGGCACATTAGCAGGTAGTTGGGCTGGAAGCAAAGCAGCTGGAACTTGAATGGGATCTCTGAAATGGATGCTGGCATCACAGATGCCAGCTTACCACCACACAGTGTTGGTCCCTAAACTGAGTTTTAAACTAACATTTAGAGTAGCATGGCCAAAGTTCTTTCCTTTTCCAACAACTATGGTTACAGTCAAAACTTACAGGTTGAGCAGAATGCTGGATTTGTTTCAAAGGTTTATCTAGAAAACATGGCTCAAGTAAATATTTTTTTTACTCTTGCTCTATGATGTTGTATTGTTTTGGAATAATTTAACTTATTTAATTTTCAAGAAGAAAAATATGTGATGTTTACAAAATTAATTATAACTAATGAAGATGATTTGTAAATTGCTTTTGATAGGATGGATGCATTGGGAGCCCACAGATGTGCATGACCCACCTGTGCTCTGTGCCCAAGGCAGTGGTTCTTGGTGATGCCAAGTAAGTATACACCGGTGGTATTCTGGACGAGGATCCAGTTTTACATCACATGATAACTACAAAATAAAGAGGAAAAGAAAACAAATATGGTCACCCAGTCATTTTGCAAGACTACAGGGTGGTGAGAACTGCACAGAAAATACAGTGAACGTGAAAACCCTCACTGGAACTCTGTTCTTTATATCACTGCCATCTTAACTTCTGGCGGTCAGCTTCATGGCAGTCACAGAGGGGAAAAGGTACATTAAAACATGCCTATTGCTATGGGTAAAGAAGATGGACATTTATATATTGAAAAGTGTTGAAGTAATCTTGACATTGAAAATGAAGGAGACATAAATAAACAAATTCCACATTCATTCCTCATCCATCTATATCCATCCATCCATACATGTCTTCCCATCAAGTAAATGTTTAGGACCTACCATGTGGTGTTATCCAGCTACCCATTCATATGCCTATCTTCAACACAAAAGTGTTGAGTTCTCCTTTTCTTTTGAATATTCCCCTAGTGACTAATACTAATATCAAATCTCATTAAGACCAAAAAAAGTAACCTTGACTTAAAGTTATACTATTTTGATTTAGCCACAGGATGTGTTTTTCTCCTTAAATATAATCTTTGTATGTTTGATTGATTGAATTATACCAACTTGATTGATACTGAGTTTATTAATAGTTCTTGTCCACTGGCTAGATAACTTGCAGTTATTTTTAAAACACTTTGTGGTACTCTAAGGACAAAAATCTTCCTTCCTTTCAATTTGAGTATGTATGCTTTCCAGCATTAAGTGTACCCACATGCATACTGTATTTGCTAGTGTTTCAGCATAAAGCTTTTCTCTAGCAACAATAATGGAATGAGAATGGGACTGGGGTGATACAGACACCTAGGACTATTGTCAGCTTTACTGATAGGTGGTACAAAAGGTATGACATGGCTCTATCTTCATCAGTCCATAAGGGAATGCTTGGGCATCGTGTAAATTGTCTGCCCAACTATATCATCTATCACAAGGGTTATAAGATCCTTGTATGCAATAGCATGAATTATTTTCAAATACCTGCTTCCAAACCTTTTAAAATCTAAATGTACTTCTCATTTCTTAAAAACAAGTTAAAATATGCTATATTTCTCCAAGTTATAGATAGTTTGATCATGTTAAATATCTTTTCTTCTAAAATTTACAGGCCATAACATTCTCATATAAAAGCTAAGCTACCCAATAATTAATGATCAATTTTTGATCTTATCATATAAACAATATTTCTACAATTGCAAAGACCTTAGCAATTTCTAAACTATATAAATATTTGTAGAAATGCTTTATAATTCACTGTTTATGACATCAGAAAGCACTCAACAAACTGTTAACATATGAAGGAACAGTAATGTTCAAGAACAGAGAAGATGGACAAGTGAGAATAGACTGGTGGAGTTACAACATACAGGTCTGACATATTATCATGGAAGGTAATGGTATTTTCCTGTCCTCCTCTGTTTTCTGTTTCTGAGATTTATTGTTTATTTGAAATGAAGAGTTAAAGAGAGAAAAGGGAGAAGGAGAAGGTGAGAGAGAAAGAGGAAGAGGAGAAGGGGAGGGAGGGAGTGGGGGGGGGAGAGAGAGACAGAGGAGAGACAAAGATCTCCATCTGCTGGTTCATCTTCCATTTTTCCATCTCTAAATTACTCCTTGAGATGAACTGTTAATATTAAACAGATTACCTCAGTTACATTTCTAGAGAAAAAATGTTGATACGAGGGCAGAACAGGGTTCTTTAATGGAAAATTGAGCAAACACCTGGCAGATTCTCCTTGAAAATTTGATTCATTAATTATAATTGATTAGTTGCTAGAATTATAATTACTAGAAATCCTGAGTATTTTCAGCTCCAACCCTAAATGATGAAGGAAGTAAGGAAAGTGCTTTAGACGGATGCTCTTCTAAATAGTTTGATATCAAAGGACTCCATTTTCTGTGCTGTATGATGCAGTGTTGACCTGTCTGTAGGGTGGTGACGTCAAGGTCCAGCAGTGGGCTGGCTGACTTGGTGGTATGTTGGCATCCCATATGGGTGCTGGCTGAGTCCCAGCAGCTCCCTTCCCAATCCAGCTGCCTGCTTAGGTTTCTGGGAAGGCAGTAGAGGATACATCAAATGCTTGGGCCTCTGAGCCCTTGTGGCAGACACAGACAGAACTCCTGGCTCCTGGCTTTGGATTGACCCAGCTCTGGCTTTTGTTGCCATTTGGGGAGTGAACCAGCAGATGGAACACCTATTTCTGTCTCTCCCTGTCTGTGGCTCTGCATTTTAGATAAACAAATAATAAATCTTAACAAAAATCGAACAGCCTGAGTTATCAACACTAGCCTTTAACATCCACCTGTTTCCTCCAAACACTGGTGAAGGCAATGACTGTGGCATCTATTGAAGGAACAGTAACACACAGTTTCTGTAGGCTGCATCTTAGTATGGTCAGAAAATAGGGATGATAAGATTTATTTTAAGTGTAGTGATGAATATGGTTATGATCTGAAGTGGTGGCTTTGTCAGACAAGGTGTAAGGTGATAAAGGGAGGAAAAGTAGGAGGCAACCAGCCAAGCACGTGGATGAGCGACACTGCTGTGCGAGAACGCGGAGTGCTTCCTGCAGCAATTCTTGGTTCTGTGAGCTGAGTGGACATCACCAACGGCGTAACAAGCATCAGTTTGATTACATGACACCATCTTACTGTCATCAGAATGGACAGTTGTTACTTTAAACTGTCAAAGCAGAGATGGCAGGAATTCAAATGAGAAATGAAAGGATTCATAGCAGCTTTGTGGAGTCAAAGAAAAGCCCTCTTTCTCACAGCAGTGAAGGCTTTTCCATTACTGCTGTGACTAAATCCAGGCTTCGCACATCTGACCTCCTGACTTGGTCAGAATACTTTTTGTTCATTGATGATTTTCATTTTTTGGTCACTTAATTTCAAATAAGTTTTTTTTTAAAGTCCAATCGCATGTAAGTGAATTTAAGAAAAGAAGGTGACACTTTCATATATTGGTTTACAAGGTCTCAGCATTTAGGCAGGGGTGGGAAACTTCTTTCTGTCAAGCGATATTTGAATTTTAATAACATCATTTACAACCCATACAAAATGATCAACTTTAAAGTTCACCTGCTGTACATTTACTGAATTTCAAGTTGTTGCTATAAATAACTTTGTGGGCTTATACAGTCTACTGGGTAAGACATTTTTCACCCCTGAATCAAAAGGTCAATGTTAAGAGTATCTATAGCCTGGCTTTAAAATAAAATTATCCTTTGTTTCTTCAAAGTAACATTTTATTCATATTTGTTCTATGCTTTATGTTCTCACTGTTGACTATCACAGAATTGTGTCATAAAAATTTATACAAGAATTCTTGAAAAGTAATAGTTTGATGCCTGCTCATTAGTAGTGTTTCTGGAGAAGGGGACTGCCAAGTGACTTTAATCACAGGTATGTTTCTCAGCCTTGGTAGTCTTTGTCTAAATAGCATGGCTATACTTTGTACTTGAACAACCAGATTCTCAAGTTCTTGGGTTGTTTCTTTCTGAATTGTTTGAAATTTACCATTAAGGTCACAAAAAGCTGACCAGGTTAATTGCTGTTCTTTTCCCATGAGAGAACACGGAAAAGACCTGTTCTATTCAGGTCTTATGTCAGGTGGTGACAGATGTTCTGACCATTTTGTTTCAACTTTTGCTTCTGAACGCCTTTTGCAGGAGAAAATGCTTCACTTTAGAAGTCATAGGAGGAAAACAGAAGTGACCCCCATCTCCTCCACTTTCAATCAGGAAAGGGAGAATATAAATACAACTTCCATAAGAACAAATATAAAAATGCTGGTGTTTGTTTTGGTAAGTTAGGAAATCACATTATTATTATTATTATTTTTATCAAGCATCACTGTTGGTTTCTGAGCATTAGATCACATTACCCTGGCTTTGATGATTGTTGGCCGAGGATCCAAGATGCCCTGCATCTTTCTCAGTGCAGGCACAACAAAGAGATTGCAGGTGACCACGGCTGATACAGGATTCCCTGAAAGTCAACCAGAGTTAGTTATTGTATAGCACACACAAATTTGTCATAGTTATGCCTGTCTATAACTTCAGGTATCTCGGAGTGTAATGTGCTAGCCAGTGGATTTCCTTTTCTAAGTCACCCTGTTCCAACGGGGTACCAATATACAGGTGTAGGAAAGCAAATGCCTTGGAGGGCATAAACATTTGGTTCCTCCAGTAAAAGACATTCCTGATACCCACAGCTGCTTAACACTATTTCCGCTTCCCTGAGAGTCAATAATGTGTAAGTTTCATATTTTTAAATGCTATTTTTAATGCATTTGAAAATGAAATAATTATAGTAGTGTTACTCAAATTTTGGAAAATCCAGATAAGCATAGGAAATGTATTTAATCTCTACCCAGAAACTACTGTAAATTAAAAACAAAACAAAATGATCAAGATGTGAAGTCTTGAAGATAAATAATTGTTACAGCCTGAACTTTGACCCCACCTCATCCCTCCCAATTCAGAGGTGATGTTCTAAGTCCCAAAGTATCTGGAGACAGGGCCTTAAGGTTACATGCACTCATAAGAGTTGGTCCTAGGGCCTGGTGCACAGGCCAAGAAGCTAAAACCTCACCTTGAATGCACTGGGATCCCATATGGCCGCCGGTTCTAATCCTGGTGGTCCCACTTCCCATCCAGTTCCCTGCTTGCGGCCTGGGAAAGCAGTCAAGGATGGCCCAAAGCCTTGGGACACTGCAACCACATGGGAGACCCAGAAAGAGGCTCCGGGTGCCTGGCTTCAGACTGACACAGCTCCGGCAATTGAACATTGAAGCCACTTGGAGTGAATCAGTGGGCAGCAGCTCTTCCTCTCTGTGTATCTGACTTTCCAATAAAAATAAGTAAATCTTAAAAAAAAAAACCCAAGAATTGGCCCTAATCCAATAAGGACTGGTGACTCTCGAAGAGTCAGCAGGGTGTGCAGGCAAGGAGGCAAGGCCATGTGAGACACTGCTGGATGTGGCAGGAAGAGAATGCTCAACAGAAACGAATTCTGTCAGCATGCTCAGTCTTTTTTTTTTTGCTTTTTAAGATTTATTTATTTATTTTTATTGGAAAGGTGGATATACAGAAAGGAGGAGAGACAGAGAGGAAGATCTTCTGTCCATCCGATGATTCACTCCCCAAGCGGCTGCAACAGCTGGATCTGAGCCAATCCGAAGCCAGGAGCTCTTCCTGGTCTTCCACATGGGTGCAGGGTCCAAGGCTTTGGGCCGTCCTCAACTGCTTTCCCGGGCCACAGGCAGGGAGCTGGAAGGGAAGCGGGGCTGCCGGGATTAGAACCGGCGCCCACATGGGATCCCGGGACGTGCAAGGCGAGGACTTCAACCATTACACTATCGTGCTAGGTCCTGCTCAGTCTCTTAAATTGTGATAAAATACGTTTTTGCTTTTGGTTTTCTCTCTCTCTCTCTGATTTGTTTACTTGAAGGACATAGGATCAGACAGAGATGAAATGAGATCTTCCACACCTGTTTCACTCTCTGAGTGGCCCTAACAGCAAGGGCTGGGCCAGGCTGAAGCAAAGATCGGGGCAGGAACTTCATTCTGGTCTCTCACATGGCTGGCAGGAACTCAGGCAACCTGCTGCCTGACTCGATCTGGCACTTGGATATAAACCTTGGTGTGCTAAGCAGTAGCTTAACTGGTTTCCATTGTTGAAACCACCCAAGGCTATGGTATTCTGGTGTGGAAGACAAAACAGTTCCATGCAAATACCAAGATCTTTTAAAGTTACAAGAAGAGGCTGAGGAATTTTAGGTGTTTCGTGCACCTGAAAATGGTGGGTGGACTATGGAGAGAAGATACACAAACATATATTTGGCTGCATGGGCGGTATCCTAAAGCAAGCTTCACTAATTTAAGTGAACTTCACTAAGCTAAGTACACTTGCCAAGTACCTTCTTCATTTACTTATTTAAAACCTTTATTTTTATTTACTTGAAAAGGGGAGAACAAGCACAAAAACCTCTATTTTTTCCTCTCTATATAAGTCTTACTGTCAAATACATTGATTAATCTCTACAAAAGAGAATGAGTTGACATATATATGAAAGAGTACTGGAAGGACTGAAATTAAATGTAAATGGGGTCTAGAGCAGTAGCCAAGTCCTTGCCTTGCATGCTCTAAAATCCCATATGGGCACAAGTTTGTGTCCTGGCTGCTCCACTTCCCATCCAGCTCCCTGCTTGTGGCCTGGGAAAGCAGTCGAGGACGGCCCAAAGCCTTGGGACCCTGCACCCGTGTGGGAGACCTGGAAGAGGCTCCTGCTTCAGATTGGCTTAGTTCTAGCCATTGTGGCCACTTGGGGAGTGAACCTACGGATGGAAGATTTTTCTGTTTCTCCTCTTTATAAATTTGACTTTCCAATAAAAATAAATAAATCTTAAAAAAATGTTGTAAATGACAGTTATTCCTGGGAGGATGGGAGACTACAGAATTTTTTTATGCTTCTCTGTTTTCTAACTTTTTAAAAATACTGAACATCACATAATAATTTTAAAAAGTTAAGAAAATTGCAAATACACAAAATTTAAGCTCTTTCTTAACAGTTCATTCATTGATTATTTTTCTAAAGATTTACTTAATATAAAATCAAGTAAGTAGTCTAAAGCTGTATGTTTATGACTCGGAAAGGAACAAATCAGTTATTTTCTGAAGGAACTCATGACAAGCAAGAAATAATAGGGCCGAGTTATTGATGATAATTAATAAAGTTAAAAACAAACAAGTAGATACATAGCAGTTGGAAACTGCTTTAAAATCAAGATGCAATGATTTTAAATGCTTGTAAAATCTGACTGAAAATCTTTATAAACTGAACTGCTTTGCTTTTCTTATATTCCGAACATGTGAGTTGCTGTTCAAATGGCTGTGTGTGTGCCTGTGTGTGCCTGAGTATGTGTGCATGTGTGCGTGTGTGCATGTGTGCCTGTGTACGTATGTGAGTGATGGTGATGTTGACCGGTTGGGAATTGAGTCCATATCTTTCAGATTCCGTGTCGAGTGAGCTGATGGGGGGCATGGTAATATGAGAAGTTCAAAAGCCTTTCTTTCATCACTTTTTTCCAAAGCAATTTCAATGATTCTTACCTGGTAGTGCAAAGATAATTTTTCTTACACCATCAATATCCAAAGTTGCAAATGTTGTTGGCAGGCTAGAGAATAAGGAGGAGAGAAGCCGTGAGCGATTACTGAAGTGACAGGCTGAGCAGTCACTCTGCAGCCTTCCTGGTACGTGACTGCACGCACGGATCCCTCCACACAGAAATGCTTCTTTGTTCACTCACCTGTAAGCCCCAAATTCTGAAGTACTTCAGGAGCACTTAAATGTGTTCTTAACATCTTACTCTTCAAGTAATCACATTCTTGGTTTTAGTTTTCCTTCTTGTCAGTATTATAGAAATGTAGCCTGGACCCTAGCCTTCCCCAGTCTTACCATCCATACAGTTAACAATCTATACTATTTTTCTTACAGATTTTCAATCATTTTATTGTCATAAGACTACCTGCTAATATATATATCTACTTATGGTTCAAGATGAGTATATCTTATCCTTTTAAAACTACTCAACAATGCACATAAGAAGTTCCCTCAAATCAATGGAGCTTTTTGAAACAGCCAAGTAAATTCAGTACCCCGATTAGAATCAAACTAAAGCAACAGTGATTTAAAAATTACCAAATTAAATTCCCTCATGATTCTGATGAAATTTTCATTTTGTGGGGAGAAGGGTGAGTAGCAGCGAGGGAGTAGACAGCGAACAGTGACTTTACCGCCCCCACCCCCATTTTCCCTTAATGCAGGATTTTAGTTAAAAGTCTTGTATTAATAAAACTTAATTGGTAAGGAATCCTTAGAGAATACTGAAGTGTCCGTATAGATGGAGAGTTATTGCTTTAAGCATCCAAATTGTTTTTGCCTTTGCTATTTCTGCAGGTTAATCTTTCAAAAATAGATCACTCCTTCATTTCCCTTTGTAATAATATAGTGACACTGACTTTTTAAAATATGGCTGTCCATCAGTATCGATGTACCAGAGCCTGTTACAGTGCAGTGATGTCAGGTCACAAGGGCACTGTGGGTTGTTCTCACTATAAACCATGTCCCACACTGCTGTCCTCCTTCTGTTTTTTTCTACCTCCTTTTTCCTGTGACTCCCTTGTAAGGCCAGCTTGCCATCGTATCAACCCTGAATGCTGGTTGAGGCATGGAACCAGAGAGTAACCCTTAAGCTGGTAGAATAGAGATAGTACTAGCAACAATGGAAATGACTATTTCATATCTGTCACTTATTTGCAAGGCAGAACGACAGAGGGACAGACAGAAGGGTATCTTCCATCCTCTGGCTCCCTCCCCAAGGGGCTGCAATGTCTCTATGAAGGCTGAAGGCAAGAGCCAAGAACTCAATCGAGGTGTCCTGTATGGCTGGCTGCGGTCCCAGCACTTGGGCTATCTTCCGTTGCCCTCCAAGGTGCTTTATAGCAGGTAGCTAGGGTGGAAAGTGAGGCAGCCAGGACCCAGCTGGCACTCTGAGAGGAGATTCCAGTGTTACAGGCAGAGGCTCAACGTGTTGCACCACAAAGCTGGCCCCCCAAATCAGTATTTTAAGACTAACATCTGTGCATTTTAGATTCATGATTTCATTTAAACTTCAGCACAATACCATGAAATGAAGCTTATCATTTCATTTATTAAACGAGGAAACTGAGAATCAGAAAGATCAAGCAATTTTGTTAACACACCCAGCTACTAAGTCGAGGAAGAAAGATTTACAACAGTGTTGTGATTTTATGGCTCTGTATTTGTATGACGTGGGTGGGCCGGGCTGTGAAGCAGTAGCGTGTATTTGGATGGCTCTGGTGGGCTGGGCTGTGAAACAGTGGTGTGTATTTTGGCTGCTCAGAGACCTGTTTTGCTTACTTCCTGATTTTTTTTTTTTGCTATGTTTTATAAAAATGAGATTGAGTATACACTGAGTATAAGTAGACTATTTGGCAATAACTGTTACTGTAATAAAAAAATGATTTCTAAGATGCACATTCTTGCTGACAGCTTTGTTCACTGTAGTCAATTCATAAAAACAGGACGTGGGCCTTGATTCCAAACACCCAAAATGCTTTGTCAGCATCTTTGTCTATAAAATGACAGAGGTTAATATCATTCTGAATGAACAAAGCTTAAACTGCATTTGTGCTTTTTCTATTTCTTTTTGCTCCACTATTAAGTAACCACTCGTTGTATGTTCTTTTCTTTAGAGAAGCATACAATTCTAACCAGTTAAAGGATGCCTACTTAAATTTCTGTACCGCCTCATGATGCAAACTAGCACGCAGATACCAAGAGGAGGCAGGAGGGCATCACATGTTCTTCCTTCTCCTGTTTTTAAACCACAGGGCCGATTTAAATCATCTCCTGAACCTTGCACTACGTGATATGATTTCTCTAAGAGCTGTCTGTGGGATATTCATCTGTGCAACAGAAAATCAAGAATTCACAGAGTGCCTGGGAATTGACCAGGCAGGCTACTGCTTAAAGACATGGTCCCACCTTCTGTGTCACAGCAACACCTTCCTTGAGGATTGCTGACCGAGTCTAGAACATTCCTCCACCAGCCCTTAGTTACAGGAGACACGCAGACCTTGGTACATGGTTATTCTTCCCCTCTGGGAGACAGCGAGAGGCAGTGCGAAACACTGCATAAACTATTCTCACAAAAGAAAGCAAATAGAACCTGAATTCAATTAAGCCTTTAGGTCTTTCATTCTATAGAATATATATGTAATGCAACCTGGGATGTAGTAAGCCAAATACTTTCATCAGGAAATGTAATTTATTTTTTCTAACAAGTCAGTGATATGACCAAAATAAAGGGAGAGAAGAATAAATGTTTCATTTAATAGAAACTTAATAATCAATTATAATGAATCCACCTTACTTCAATGTTGAGTCAAAAAAAAAAAAACAATTAGAAAACCATATTCTTTTTCTTGACATTTGGGGCAAATTTAAATATAATCAAAGTATTAGAAAATGTTAAAGAATCACTGTTTATTTTGTTAGATGCTCTGGCAGCACCACTGTAGTTAAGTAAGAGAATGGTATTTTTATTATTTAAAGATTTATTTATTTTTATTGGAAAGTCAGATATACAGAGGAGGAGAGACAGAGAGGAAGATCTTCCATCCAATGATTCACTCCCCAAGTGGCCACAATGGTCAGAGCTGAACCGATCTGAAGCCAGGAGCCAGGAGCTCTTCCAGGTCTCCCATGTAGGTGGAGGGTCCCAAGGCTTTGGGCCGTCCTCGACTGCTTTCCCAGGCTACAAGCAGGGAGCTGGATGGGAAGTGGTGCTGCTGCAGTTAGAACCGGCGCTCATATGGTACAATGAGTTCTTTCATTTATTCATCATCCTACTTCAGTTACCATGAACATTTTTCTGGTTGTTTTATCAGCACCCATCCCCACCCTGTCTTTCTTGGGGGAGGGTAGAATGGACTCTTTTAAAGAAAATTCTAGATACCATGTCATTGTGGTACACGTCTCAAATAATAACACCATTCTCTGCCCCGGCATGGTAGCCTAGCGGCTAAAGTCCTTGCCTTGCACATGCTGGGATCCCATATAAGCACTGGTTTGTATCCCGGTGGCCCTGCTTCCCACCCAGCTCCCTGCTTGTGGCCTGGGAAAGCAGTTGAGGACGGTCCAAAGCCTTGGGACCCTGCACCTGTGTGGGAGACCTGGAAGAGGCCCTGGTTCTTGGCTTCAGACTGGCGCAGCTCTGCCTGTCATGGCCACTTGGGGAGTAAACCAGCAGATGGAAAATGTTTCTTTCTGTCTCTCATTTTCTCTGTAAATCTGACTTTGCAATAAAAATAAATAAATCTTTAAAAAATAAAATATATGAAGCAGAAAAAGTTTGGGAAGTCGTTTTTTTTAATGATTCATAAGGAAGATAAATTCCTGTTACAAATGGGAGCTGCACTTAGGGATGTTATATGATAACATTCATTTATTATAGGCTGTAATAAAATGCAAGAAAGGGAAGCATTTAAAAACATTGATAGAACAAGCCAAATGAACCCCATAAAAGAGATAAGGATATTGTTTTCATACCCTGGTTTCATGAAAACCCTGCCGAAATGGATCTGGGCGTGTAGATCGATGTCCAGCACCTGCTTGAGATAGTCCTGCAAACAGGCAAAATCATCTCCTTATAGTCAAACATTTTAATATTGGACTTTCAACACTTTAAATGAAAATGAAATGCATGTACAGGATTCAAATAATTTTCTTATTTTTGAGAAGTTGATTTACTTAATACTCTCCGTTCTTCACTCATTCACTTATGCTGTCAGTAAGTGTGTGTGGAGCGTTCGGTGAGTGCTAAGTAGCAGTGAGGACGCAGGCGAGAACAGCCTCACACCAAACAGGAAGCGTCCCTGTCCTCCAGCACAGTGCTTCCTAGCAGGGCTGACAGCACAGCATCGGAACGCATTCACGTGTGAGCCCCCGGCTTGGGAGTAAACGTCTCTTCAGGCAGACAAAGGACACTACGCACCATACATCAAACGTGGTGCCTTCCCCTCGTATTAGGGTACTTCAGCAAGTGCATGGAAAACGTGTACAACGAAAAAAACCGCCAGATTTCATAAGTGCTTTGCAACAAAATAAAAATAACATTAAATTCAATTTTTCCATGGATTCTTTGAAGTACTTTGTAGTTCTGCAGCCTACATTATTTTGCTTAATAGACTTCAGCTAATACACATTAAGAGATGTGGATTTTTTCCCCCCATAGGATGCCCATCTAAACAAGTCAGCTGAAGTGAACTCTGAAACAGAAAGGAAGAAGTGTGATGGCTCTGACTTTATGTTTTACAGATAAGAGCTTGTGGTGATGACCAGTCTTCGGAAAGGAGAAGTTACACTGTCCTGCAGTTAGTTTTGTGGACAAAAAAGGAAGAAATTACAACTCTTTAAATTTTCTCTGACAGAATGTAACTTCTGGATCTACTATTGAATTTCTTATTTACTAGTCTAAAGCCAAGCCTAGTATCCTGCCAAAAATTTAAATATGCCACAATTTTTGAAATGGTTTATTTTATTCAAAACGATCTGCTCCCTTTTTTCAATCTCACATCCTTGGCCGACATCATCTCTCCTGGCTCATTTCAATGCCAGTGGCCTCACGGTTTTCCAATTCATTTTCCGTTCAGCAGTGCCAGTGGTCCTTGGAGCAACTGATTACATACTACTTCAATAGCTTCCTGCATTTTTTAGGAAAAAGCCTCACCTTTTAACCATCATTCTCATAGCCAAAATCCTGAACTTGTATACAAATCACCGTTCTAATCAGTTAGCTCTCTTCCCACTCAACCAATGTTCATTCCTCATTCATTTTACTATCCACGTTTTAGCCAAAACTATATTGTATCAAGCTTTTTAAAGAAAAAGAAATTTAAAAATCTATTTGAAAGGTAGAGAGAGCTGGGCAGAGAGGAGACTCTCCTACCCACTAATCCATGCCCTGTGTGCCCACAGTGGCTAGCTGAAGCCAGGAACGTGGAACTCAGTGTGGTCCCACGTGGGCAGCAGGGTTCTCCCATTGGAACCAGCACCTGCTGCCTCCACGGGAGTCCGTTAACAGGAGGGCGGAATGGAGGGTGGGGCTGGCATGTGAGCATTGAGAGATGCAAGCATCCCAAGGTGTTTTAGCTCCTGCGCTGCTTGCCCTCCCTGCGTCCAGTCTTTGAGGAGGTTCTTCCCGCTTGCTCTCCATCCCAGCCTCACTTGCCTCCTCATAACTCCCAAAGTTGGAATGACAACTTATTTATTTTTATTTTGAGGTTACATTATTATATAAACCAAATTTAGAATTGTTACGTGTTTCTAGAGAATCAAATAATAAGATGACTAAATGTCCCTCCTAAACTCTAGTAATCCTTTTAATTTTTTCTAGTAGCAGGTCATCTCAAAGATAGCAGTTTAAGGACCATCTATCTGCAGGAGCACCGCAGCAGCTACAGCCGCATGAATCTCAATTTCCATACCTTTTCCCCCATGGATACACCGCCTGATGTGATGATGACATCAGCACGGCTGATCCCCTCGTTCAAGGCATTGAGTAAGTCATCTGGGCTGGAAAAACAGAGAAAGACAATGCATTAACACACAGACGAGTATCTGGGATATAGTGTCAACTTTAAATGAACCCACCTTATTCTCTGAGTAGAAACCTGTCTGGAGTACAGCAATGTATTCCATTTTGGGGGAATCAAATGGGTCTTTGCCCAATAGAAGTATACCTTTTATTGTAGAGAAAGGACTTTCTAAATGTTACATTAGTGGTTATTCCTGCTTTCACAGGGCTTTTTCCTTCAAGAAGGCAGTGTAATGAAAGACAGTAAGCCATCTTGGTTTACCTAGGAATGCCCTTGTTTAAAAACTGGAAGACACATGTCCTAGGATATCCCAGGCAAATGAGCAGAGCTGGTCACCCTGAGGTGTCAAAAGGATCACGTAGGACTCTTTGGAGAGAATGAATTGAGGAGTTGAACTTTTGACAAGTGGAAAGGAATGGGAGAAGGCTTTGGAATAACACAGATAACATAAGCAACAGCTTAGAATCGTGCCTAAGGCTGCAGTTTCTAGGGCGCAGTGATGACAGCTTGGCAAGAGTGAAGGACTTGACTAGAAGTGACTGAGATGGGTGAGAGGGGACATGATTTTTGGAGGACTTTCAAATTTAAGAATTTGGCTTTTAACCTATTAGGAGGCTGAAATATGAAAACCCAGGGATGTTTAGTGAAAAACAGGAGATTAAAGGAATGTGGAAGACAGAAGCTATATGAAATATCCTGAGAGGTAAACAAACAAACAAAGAAACAAACAAAAACAGGTTGAATGTTAAAGAGAGAAAGTGGGTATGTTCCTGGATCTCAACTGAAAATGGCCAGGCACCAGGCCCTCTGATGAATCAGGAGGAAAGGGACCTTTTTTTTTTTTTTTCTGTTAAAGACCATTTGGATATTCATAAATTTATCTGCAGGCTTTACCAAATTATAAACTTAAAAATTAACCTTCTTAGATCTACTAAATTTTAACTCCCACCTGTGGTTTCCTTGGCAGGATCAGACAAAATAATTTCCTGTAGCCTGTGGACCAGATCTACCCCAACCCTCACACAGATCAAAGGCCTGGAGAGAAGACATGGAAAAAAAAATCAAGGGTCTTCTATTCTGGCTTCTAGAAGTGTTGCAGAGGCCTAACCTGAGGTTTCTCAATCACAAATCCCCAAGCATGAGGACCTGTGAATGGACAGGATGGCAGGGAACAGCTGAAATGGACTCTATAGTCAGGTTTCAAGAGACACTAAGCTCAAGTAGTATAGTCAGAAGCCATGCTTAATTCCTCTTTAGATGCTCATGTTAGGTGTTGAGAGAGGAGAAACAAAAAAGGAAGAATCCTGAAGTGCAGCGAACCCTCATGTTCCCAAGTGTCAGTGATAATGAAGTTAAGGCATAACCTTCTACCTCATGATTACTTAATGGGGACTGTGGGGGGAAGCAATGTTAGTGGCTCTAGATGACAAGACTCACAACTGGGATATCATTTCACTTCTTTATACAGGCATGGCACAGGAAGCTGACAACCATCTGAGCCACCCCCTTTACAAGCTCTCTAAAAGATAAACTAGCTGGGGGCGGGGTGCATTAATACACAATGTGGACCCTGGAGTCAGATTTACCAAATATTAGATCCTGGTGCCACTATTGATGGAGATTTACAACCTTGGCCAAGATCAGTAAGTTCTCTTTGTCTCAGTACTCCTTTAAGCAGGGACAACACAGTTGTTAACAGAATTTAAAAATTTGTGGGGGAGTACCGTGAACAAACAAGTTTTCTTTTTTCTTTTTAAGATTTATTTTTATTATTTTTTTATTGGAAAGGCAGATATACAGAGAGCAGAGACAGAGAGGAAGATCTTCCGTCCGATGATTCACTCCCCAAGTGAGCGCAACGGCCTATACTATGCTGATCCGAAGCCAGGAGCCTCTTCCGGGTCTCCCACATGGGTGCAGGGTCCCAAAGCTTTGGGCCGTCTTCGGCTGCTTTCCCGGGCCACAGGCAGGGAGCTGGAAGGGAAGCGGGGCTGCTGGGATAGAACTGGCGCCCATATGGGATCCCGGGCGTGCAAGGTGAGGAACTTTAACCACTTGCGCCACCGCGCTGGGCCCGAACAAACAAGTTTTCAAAAAAGGTTGTTGAGTGTGCCTGCTGTTTGGCTGCTCTATTGGCAACAGTTACACACAAATTTTTTTTTAAACTCTGGAGAATATCCATGAACAGTAGAGAAGATCCTGTATTGGGACTTAAAGATGTGAAAGGTCCAAATGACAGTGAAGAACTGGTTCCAGGCTGAATAATTCCATTTACAGGAGCTGGGTAAAAATTTCCTTCTATCTCCAACACTGGGTATTCCTGGGGGTTCTGTGGCTCTGGGAAGTTGAGTGCCCAAGGAAAAGGTACAAAAATAAAAATTTGAAAATAAGAGATCAACATTGCTTATGGAGGAAATGAAAAAAGTCCAGGTATCTAATGAAGATGGAAGCTAAGTGAACATGAAAAACTTAACTGCTTAGGCAAAACATCTGACAAGTATTACACACAATAATGGATGTATTTAGAGTATTTCTGAACTAAGTATTTTGAACAGATGAATCCTTTTAGTTTTGCTTGGAAGAAAAAGGTAGCAAATTATCCCACTTTGCTGAAAAGCTGTGCAATATGCATGTGATGGGTTCCCAAGGCGCAGGGTTTGGCTTGCTAATGTTAAGGGGCACGACATTATTTCTCTGAGCCAAGTGGAGCAAATGGGGAGAACATCGCAAACATCGCGTCATGTGGAATATGACCCAGGTAACAGGATAATGGTTATTATCCATAACATACAATTTTCTGCTAGTACAGGCATTAGTTCATTTCACCAATCTTACAACATGCAATCTGACGCCATTTGTAACGGAAGCTGACAATACAGGATTATCGTGAGGTCCTAGAGGTAGAGCAGCAGTGACATACCCAGCCTCATAGTATTCAGGTAGCCTGAGACTGAAACGGGCCCTAAAGGGGCTAGAGGATGACCACAAGCATACTTTTCAGATCTTTTTCTTCTGTTTTCAAATTATAAAACTTTTTTTTTCTTTCCTATAAAACTGCAGAGTTGTCAACTGTTCATATAAAACTTGAAGAAGTAAACTAGAAACGCTTGGTATGGTTTGGACATGGTTTGAATTTGTCCTCCCAGGGTTTATGTGTTGATAACTTGGTTCTCAGAGTAGTGGTTTTGGGAAGTAGCACAGAACCTTTCACGAGGCCCTTGGTTCATTTGAGGACATGTTCTCAGAAGAGATTATGGGATCCTAGACTCTCCCTGGACCTGATGTGGCGATGAGATTTCTCTCCCGCATACAGATTCCAGCCACCGCAGTACCCTCTGCCATGAGGATCTCACCAAAACCGAGGGCTGCCAGCCTGAATTAGGACTCTAGAAATGAGTCACATAAACTTCTCTTCCTTAAAAAATATGCTACTTCATATATATCTTTATAATAACAGAAAGGAGACTAGTACAGGAGTTGTTCCAAATCCTTACGGTAACTGTGTTATACTGTAAAAGAAATACCCAAAGCTATTTTCTATTCTGTAGTTAGTAGATTCACAAAGTTACAGAATCTTAAAAGTTGGAAAGGTCATCTTATCCACTAGCACTGCTGGGCCCGTTTCTCGGGCCCTCCCTTCTACATCTCTCTTTGCCCCATCACTTTACTTGCTGTTGCACAATTCTAATGTCTGGGCATCTGGTCAGATATTGTGGCTCATTACAGAGACAAGTACCAATGTGTACAAACATTCACAGGATTTGTTTAACTTCATTTACGTTGCACGGTACATCCCCATTTATTGCCTCACAATGTTACCTGCGTGGTAGGCCCATGGAAGTATTATTATGCCCATTTTACAGAAAGGAAATGACATTTAAAGACAGAGTAGCATATTTGTCACCTGCCAACTAGCTCATCTGCTGGCCCAGGAGGGTGGTGCCTCTGGCAGATCTAAGGTTCTTTCCTGACCCTCCATCATGCCTGCATGAAGAAGTGAAGTGAAGCCCTCATTAGTAATCTTGCCAACTGCAGGCTTTCATGCTCTTCTTCCTCAAGTGCTGCACAAAATAAAGGGCCATGAATCAACTATATTCTTAGAAGATGGGGGAGAACATATTCTCTCTCACAGAGAGAATTTGTTTCAAGTTAACAAAAACCTGAACATCCAGTGAACCATCCAGTGAACCAGCAGATGGAAGATCTTTCCCTCTGTCTCTGCTTCTCTATGTAAGGCTGCAATTCTAATAAAAATAAATAAATCTTTTTGAAAAGTCAATAGCTGGGGGGGTGAAAAATAAACATAATATTCTGGATGGTTCCTAGTGAAACAAAACTGCTGAGAGAATAGATAATCTTAATAGGAACAATTACAAAATACGAATAAAATTTAATTAAAATAAAGGATATTATTAGATTAAAATAGTTTCAAAATAAAATATTTGTAGATGAAGAGGAATATAGTTCCTTACAAAAATTCACTTGGCGCATGGAAGATCCAATGTTAGCAATCTTGGCCTGGTGCGATAGTGTAGTGGTTAAAATCCTTGCCTTGTATGCGCCAGGATCCCATAGGGGTGCTGGTTCTAATCCTAGTGGCCCTGCTTCCCATCCAGCTCCCTGCTTGTGGCCTGGGAAAGCAGTCAAGGACGGCCCATTGCCTTGGGACACTGTATCCATGTGGAAGACCCAGAAGAGCTCCTGGCTCCTGGCTTCAGATTAGCACAGCTCCAGTCATTGCAGTTACTTGGGAGGTGAACTATCTGACGGAAGATCTTCCTCTCTGTCTCTCCTCCTCTCTGTATATCCACCTTTTCAATAAAAATGTCCTCTATATGTGTCCAGGGGCCCAAGCACTTGGGCCATTCTCTGCTGCTTTCCCAGCACATCAGCACATCAGCAGGGATGTGACTCAGACAAGAAAGTTACCAGGAAACTGTAAATCAGCAAAAAATTAAGAGTGGCAATACTCACATC